AAAATAAATCAGCAGCAGTACAGTAACAGCCAGTGCTTGAATAAAGGCTGAGGAATCATTCATGCTACCCGAATACATAAGTCTTATGCAAGTAAAATAAATGTGACAACAGGCCTACTGCCATTGAATCTTATCCAAGCACAAGCTTAACCTTTCATTAGGAATTTCTGTGGGCTCTTGTTAAAACCAGTCGGAACAGTCTGAGCAGTGACAAGTCCTGCACCATTCCTGGCACTGAGCTCAGCACTCCCTCCTTCCCTCAGCACTGGCGCACACACAGGGCTGAACAATTATTTTAATTAATAGTAGCACCTGCTTAAAATATCAGGGTCATGAGAGTCTAAAGTCCTGCTCAAGCTCTCTTACCTTGTCCTTTTTTTCCAAGGCCAAAGCCATTCCTTCAGCCATCTTGGCTCGACTGGCCTGATGAGCTTCATTCTGCTCCTGAAACTTCCTCATGGAGGCTATCAACAGAGAACCACCAGCTATATTAAAAACTCATCTTTTAAAATTACTTCTCACTTTCCTGTAAGTTATTTATAACTTTAAAGAGTTTCTTCTGCAAGTAATTAGCCCCGTCTTGACTGTAGCACTAGCGCTGTGCTACTCATTCCCTCACGCTGCTTGCAGGCTGGCAAAGGGCCAAAGCTAACAGCAGACAGGGATACTGCTCCTTGCTGGATTAGAACAAAGCTGCAGGTTTCCAAGAGGTCATTCCTGCATGTGAGCCCCAAATTTGGCAGAAGGAGTATAATAACAACTTCATTCAACACACCAGCTGCTGCTTTTTATGCTGTAAATAAGGTAACAACTTGTGTTCTAATTGTTCACACTACAGAGGTGCACAGTTTGAAAGGAAATCATTAGCACATCTGTACACCAAACCTCTTTCCTTCCAACCACAGCAATTTTCAACTGAACTGAACAAAAAGGAAAACAAGAAAAATACGTACAATCCTGATGCTTTTCTAATGCATTTTCAAGCTTCTCTTTTATCTTCTGCAGATTTCGGATCTGATCAGCATAATCTTGTGTGAGGAGGGAGGAGAACAGACCAGGAATGGACAGACATTGGGGAAGGACGTTTTTAGGGTAACACAAAAATTTAAAAAAAAGGAAAAAAAAAAAAGAAGAGAAAAAAGGATGAGTGGCAAATGACAATGATTTTTCTCAATCAGAAAATCATTCCTGCTGAGGAAAACTTGGGTGACAACAACAATGATCACAAGCAAATAGCTCTGTACTGTCCACAGGGTTGGCACAAACAGAAGGGCCTGTCCCAGGGGTGTCAGTCACACAGACAAGAGCAGAACCAGAGAATGAACAACTGTCTCTCCCTTTTCACTTCAATCCAGAACACTGACACATTTCACTCTGCTCAGGAAAGGTGTCTGGCACTGCAGGGTGCAGGGAAGGGTTAATTCATGGCCATTGCACCCATCTGCTCATTGCTGCAGTCCCACAGCACTGCCCTCACCCTCGCTCAGCAGAACTGACCCGGAGGGAATATAAACCAAACCAAGTGTACACACACCCTGGAGAGGGTCCTGTACGATGGAGAAGAGGATTTACTCACTGGCTGCCTGCCTGCGTGAGACTCCTGATGCCCAGAGCCTCCCTCTCTTGTGTTAAGCCCCAGCCAGCACTTTTAAGTTTACCTTGTGCAAGCAGATGAGCACTTGGGCCTTTTGAATTCCATGTGAAACAATTTCTGAAGCCTATATTTTCTTGAACTGACCAGAAGCCTGATAAGTCTCCAGAAGAAATCAAAATAATCCTTATCTGGCTGTAACCTTCCCTAATTTTCCAAGGCCTCCCATGAGCTTTGGGAAGCAGCAGTCTAACACAGTTCAGCCCAGTCCCTGGTCCCTTCCCTACAACAGGGATGGGGAGCAGTGCCAGCCTTCACTACAGCTTTACAGAACAAGGAATTAGAAAGAAAAAACCCTCCGGACTGTTTTATGTTGAATTCTTTGTTTCTTCTTCATTTCCAAGCCCACTTCTTTAAGGATGGCACTGTGTTACTGTCAGAAAGCTCAAACCCAATCAGAAACAAACCATACACACAAGTGGGGACAGATGCTGTTTGAAACATGGGACAGAAAGCTATCCCAGCTGTTCCAAGCAATCACATAAATGTATTGTTGAAATCAGCAAAGACCCAGTTGCCTTCATAAAAAATTAATGATGCTGGATGCTCCCCTCTTGTCAATCAACAGGGCTGCTACAAATCAATTTTCAAAAGACCCTAACCCCATGGATTTTTAATAAATTAAACCATGTAAATTCAAAGGAAAACATTTCCTAAAATAACAAGTTTTATATGTATCAGGGCACATACCAGATAGCTTCACCTCCAGTTTTCTAATTTGTTCATTTCTTCTCAACAACTGGGATGAAAGATCCTCTCTGGAGCTGCTTCCATCAGAAGCCTTGGGAGAAAAGCAACACTCTGTAACTTACAAAATTCAGAAAAAGTGATCCTGCCATACATTAGGAATGGGATAATAACCACTCTCCTGCCTAGGAACAGCACTTGTTTTTCCCATAGAGGGGAAAATTGTACTAGCACAGCAGAATGTGTTAGAAATGCTGAAGGAGAAAACCAGCAAGGCTCAATAGTGCCAGGCTGCCTGCTCCCCAGAGCACACAGCTTGGGAAGGGGCTGGGGCTGGGACCTGTTTGTCCAAACTGTCACTGAGGAGATGGGGGAATGGAATCACTGAGGGGGAGGAAATCAGGCTCCACAGCACAGGCACCAGGAAAGGTCAAAGAGGGAGTCCTGAAAATCAAAGTCATTAAAAGAGAAGCAGTAATGCTTTTCAGGTGGGATAAACTCACTGATGCCCTGATGCAGCAATTTGTCCACACAAAATCTGCTGCACAACTGACTTATGGTGGGTTTTGCTCCATAAAAGTCAACAGCAAGAGCAGTTCAACGAATATTGATAAAACGAGTAACTCTTGGGGGTTTTCTGAAGACCACTCAAATTCGTTACTTGTTTTGCCATTTCATTATTTCATTATTTTGTTTTGCCAATTCATTATTTGTTTGCCATTATTTGTTTTCTGTTCTACAAACTGGCAAGACTGCAAACGGAATTTCTACATGAGAATTTCCTAAGTGCTAAAGAAAAAAAAACTCAGAAAAACACAAGACTAATATATTTCCACAATAAAATGCATCTAAACATTAAGAGCTCCAACTCTCTGCTTGACACAACTGAAATTTCAGCTGAGCTTCAAAAAAAATTATTTAAAGCCCAACTGTGTAAACAAGTTCTTCACTCTGCAGACGCCAAACAGGGACTTGCTGCTGGCTATGCAGTGGGTCCTGCTGGCTCCAGCAGTGGGGTGACACTGCCTTAATCCAGGCTTTCAGAAATGTGACAGCCAGCCATGCAGGGCAGAGGTGCCAGAGCATTCCAGGGTCTCACTTAACCCATGCGCTCCTGCAACTTCACCACTTGTTTAAACAATGTTTTATCGTGGAAGAGAGGAACTACAATGGTTTTGACTGCAAAAACACTGCACACGTTTTCAGCAGAGACATATACAATGTCTCAGGTAGGAAGAGTACTTGGAAGCCCAGAGGTAAAATGAAAACTGTTTACATGGGAATGGAAGCCTCCTGGCAACTACTATGCTTAACAAACGTTTTCTCTTCAATATTTAATTTCACTCAAGCTAATGATACATTTATGCATTAGGAGATACACTTACAAAGACACCGGAGCACGTTTTCAAATCACACCCTAGACTTTAAATGGTTGTCTGCAAAACCGTAATGAAAATACTGTCAGAGAAAGGAGATTTGAAAGCAAGGTGTAACTCACAAAGTCGTCTCCGGAGTCTGCTCCCACAGACGTGATCGATTCCTTGCTGACAGACCTGGGCATGCGGGCATTTCCTCCGGGCCTGGGAGCCACCGCTGCCTCCTCCGCGATCTTCTTCTTCAATTTGGCAAACATTTTACTGCTCTACAGCCCTGAAATATCCAGCTCCTTCAGAAAGCCACGACCGCCAACGTTTAATACGCTGACACTCTTGTCTAAAGCTTCCAAAGGCTGAGACTGAATTCTGAGCCTCATGCACTGGTTTACTGCATCTCCAGCGCCACTGAAGCCCTCAAGGCCTGGCAGTACCTGCAAATCAAACAGAAATGGGTTCCACACTAAAAAATCCCACCGGCATGGATCATTTAAAGGTAACAGAAAGCCTTTTAACATCGCATCTGTTACAGCACGTTAAAAAAATCGGGTCTCCCGGAGCAGAATCCGTTAAAGCCCCAAACCAACGGCCCCAAACGGCGGCGGGGCCGGGGCCCGGGGAGCGGGCGGGTCCCCTCAGCCCAGCCCAGCCCGGCCCGGCCCGGCCCGGCCCGGCCCGCGGAGGCTGCTCTGCTCCGAGGCACCGAGGGCCTGTCACCGCCGCTCTCCCGCAGCCCCGGCCCGGCTGCCCCCTCTTCTCCCGGTCCTCCGTCCCCTCGCTCCTCACCGCCCATGCCCGGCCGGGCCTCGCCGGTCCCGCGGCCGCCACCGCTTCCCCGGACACCGCCGACCCGGAAGCGCCGCGCGGGGCGGAAGCGGCGCCGGTCCCGCTCCGCCTCCGGTCCCGCTCCGCCCCCGGCCCCGCTCCGCCTCCGGCCCCGCTCCGCTCCCAGCCCGGCTCCGCCCGCCGACCGAGCTCCTCCCTCAGCGCCGCTCCGCCCTCAGCCCGAGCCCCGCCCCCTGACCGAGCTCCGCCCCGCTCCTCTCCCGGCCCGGCTCGTCCCGTCCCTCTGTCCCGCTCTTCCCGCCCCTCTCCCGGCCCAGCTCGTCCCTTAGCCCCGCTCCTCTCCCTCCCCTCCCGCCCCTCTCGTCCCTTAGCCCCGCTCCTCTCCCTCCCCTCCCGCCCCTCTCGTCCCTTAGCCCCGCTCCTCTCCCTCCCCTCCCGGCCCGGCTCGTCCCCCAGCCCCGCTTCTCCCGCAGTCCCCGCCCGGAGCGGAGCAGGCGCCTCGGTACGAGCGTTTATCACAGTTTATTGACAGCACAGTCCGCCGGCGGGGCCGGGGCGGCGGCCGGGACAGGGACAGAGAACGGCTCGGACACGGCACAACCGCGAACACCGGGCGGGAGCGGCCCCGGCGCGGCGGGGACAAAAGCGAACGGAAATCTGCTCCAAAGTCTCTGGAAAGGCTGGAAAGGCGGTGACGAGCGGGACGCGGGGCTGGCGCTGGTCGGTGGTGCCCGGCCGGAGCGGGACAGGCGGCGGGGCCCGGGTCCATCGCGGTTCGCTCCTCCCCGCAGTGTCCAGCAGTAACACAAACACGCTCCTTCCCTCCCCGAACAACGGCAGAGTCACTTCTGGCATCACACTGCTTTGGCGATTACAGATCCCTTGCAAAAAAGTCCATTTGCTCCAAAAAAAGTTTATTTATATATCTCTATATATTTTAAGGAAAATATCCGTTTTTACCAAAATACGATATACAGGCACACAGCTGTAAAATAACTTTAAACCAATTCACTATAAAATTACTTTTGGTAATAAATAATTTGATTCTCAGAGAGGCAAAACGCTCCGCGTACCTCCGCAGCTGGGCTGCCCGAGGCACGGTCCCTCTGCATTCCCAGAACGCTCCCACCTGCGCTCCCCTCCTCTTCTCGCTGGGCCTGGCCCAGGGCAGAAGCCACTTGTGCTTTTCAGCCTGCACGAGGCAGAATCCTGCTCCCAACAAACCAGTTCAATGGCAGAACGATCAACAACACGTGCCAAAAGCGATCTGTGAAGTCAAGGGGCAGATCCTCCCAGCAGGGTTTGTTCTGGAAGGAGCGGCTGCTGGGGCTGGGCTGGTGACATCTGTTCTGCTCTGGGGCTCCTGCAGGCCAGCCAGCTGTGCTGGGGTCTGCTCCCAGCGGGAATCAAACCAGGAACAAAACATCTGTGCGTGCCTCTGGGCACAATTCAGAGACAGTCCTTAACCCCAAAAAATGTCAGATTCAGAAATCCTGAACTAACTCTCCTCAGTCTTGGCAATGGCTTAAATGGGAAAACAAAAAGTGGTTGTCACTCCTAAATCTGAAGCAGTTATGTTTATCCTCTGCTCTAGGGAGCAGATCTCTATTGATCTTCAAAGCACCTGAATACATTTGGTCACAGAACAGTATTGCTCTAAAGTCTAACGTTACAAACACAGGAGAGCCCCTTCAGCAGCATATCATCATCTCTGGAGAGCTCTGCCCGGCTGCTCTGTCCAGTCTGACCTTACGAGGCGCACAGAGCAGTTTTCAGCTCTCTGTATGAATTTTTTTCCCCAGTTCATGTAAGTGTTCCTGCCTGCAGAGCTCCCTCAGCCCCAGGAGCAGCCCCCAACACCACCAGGACTGAGTGAGGCTCGGCCGCTGCTGCACCACTGAGCTGCACTCACTGACAGTTACTGAGGAATCGAACACAGGTAAAGCTTTTACAAAAGAAACCTCAAGACAAAACACTTGTTCAGACAGATTCCAAGATTTTTAGCTTTGGGAAGAGCAGACTTGCAGCACAGCATGGTTACAGGACACGGGAGGCAGTGAGGCAGGGGAGGTACTTCCTAACTCGAGCCAGGGGTGGCCTATGGAACAGCACTTCCATCCCATCCTGAGGGGAGAAGCCTGACCAGAGATACTCAAATTGTAGCTTCTGAAGATGATTAATTGAAGCCAGATTTCCTGTTGCCCCCATCTATTTCCTATGATCCTTTAAAGACATCTCTGCACATCTCCCTGGGGAACAGTCTTGAGGGGTTTAGTCAGTCATGATTTGACAGACATTATTTTGATGAACTACTCAAAGAAAGGTCCTGAAACTTCTCAAGAAAGTACTCCAGGGAGCAAGTCCTGTTTGCACAGCTCACGGAAGTTAGTGCTCCATTTAGCTGGTGCACAAAGCAAAATGACACATCACATCCCAGGAGGAATGAAAAAACAGAGCATTAAAGACTCATAACCCTGCATTGCCCTGACACTGTTATTTTGAGAAGTCAAAGGGGAAAAAAAGGCAACAGCAGTAACTTTGGCGAGATGTTCCAAAGCCACTTTGAGCAGGAGCACAAACCTACTGTGGGAGCAGGATTCATCTGAGCACACCACATGCAGGGAGTAGGGAGCCAGGCAGGAGCAGTCCTGTAAGGACACAGCTGGTCCAGTTCACCTTGTCCTCTCAATGTTTTACATGCAGAATTTACCCCTTTAATTTGGCATTGCCTGGTGCTGGCAAGTCTTCTCCGCTAATATAAGCAATAAAGATACATGGAGAAAGGGAGAGCGAGACAAGAGGGAAGGCATCAGGCCTGAGAAGAAAAGGATTTGTTCTCTTCTCACTTTAAAATGGTTCAGTCTTTGCTTGGCTTCCACACTGAGGACTGCGAGATACAAAACCAGATTTTCTTCAGTACACACAAGCATACACCGAGAGGTACCTACGACCATAGCACAGAGCACACAGTAGCACAAGTTCAGAATGACTTAGTTCAAACAAGACAAGCTTTTACTTGGAGGGGAAAATATCAACATTTTCATATTGAATGCAGTTCTTTGGGTGGGAAAGAAGGGGCTGGCTCAAAATCCAAGAGCAGACACTTGTCCTAGCTACAGCTAGAGCAGACAGAGGGTATGAGCCCTCTGCTTCCACAGTACAATTCCATACTCCTCCCAACACAACAGGAGTGAAATCTTTATCTTTGAACATCCCAGCACTGGACCTTCTAACAAAGATCAGTGGGTAAGAGGAGAATTAGGAACCTCAAAAACTAATTTTTCACTTGGACAGTCATTGCTGTTAAGTTCAGCTTCTGAACTAATTTTTAAGGCCTATATTCTCCTCCTACATTCCAGCTTCTTCTTTTAAAAGTGCATTCTTCTCTGATGAGATCTACCTTGGCAAAAAGCAAACAGAACTTCCTCGAAGGGCTGCAAATGGTAGAAGCCTCTCAGGTCACCAGCAAGGACTCCCCACTTCAGCCTAAACAAAGGTAAGGACCACCAAGGCTTTCCCAGTCAGTTCACAAGCAATATCCCAGAGGTTCACCAGCCCACACGAGTGGAATAATCATCATCATCACTCCTATGCTTGGAAACAGCATACTCTTTTCTTTTCCACAGAGATGGAACCAAAAAAGGAATAGCTTCATCAAAGCAAAAGCTAAAGCAAAGCAAAAGCATTTGGTTGGAAGGCAGTGAGCTGGGGAAAACTCAATTCCCTTTTTCCATGCAAGCTGAACGCTGCTGGTAGAGGAACAGCAGGCAGGGCAACAGATAACCTGCCTCTCACTTGCTGCTGCATTAAAGGCTTCCTGCATCTTTAGCCTCCACATACAATCCCACATTTTAGCAACTGGGGACCTCCTACCAGGCAGAAAAGCCAGGATCAGCTTCACAGTAATACATGGATCTTATCACTGTAATGCATACAGGGATAGCATTCCCTTGGCTAACTAAGGGCTCCTGTACCTGGAATCAGTTATCAATTACTTCAAGGTCCAAGGGTAAGTCCCTGGAAACAGCAAATTACAGTGGCAGAAGAGTCATAACCTTTAGTACAACCACAAATGATCTGCAGCACCTTGTGGAATCCACCCAACATGGCGTATGTGTGTATATATAAATTTTGTATATAGACATCGTAGTGGTTCATTCTTTTTAATACATATACAAGTACCTGTACATATATACATATTTACAATTTACACCAGGCAGTAGATGCATGTGTACTGTACATACACACACAAACGCCGAGCACACACATGCACACACCAACACACACTCATCACAACAGACTCCACAGCCTGGCAAAGGAAGTCCTGCCAGAGTCCAAAGAGCAGCACCAAGGGGTGGGGGGGTCTCAATGTACCAGCTTCACAACTGCTTAGGACAAACAAAGCATTCACAGGGTTTTGTACACTTGGGAAATAAAGAATGGATGGTGCAAGCTTCAGCCCAGCTACAAAGAACCTTCATGCAAACTCCCCAGCTACACTGCAGCCGTTCCTGCTGTTCCACACTGTGCTCCCTCAGCAGAACAGATCCACCAGGCTGCTCTGGCTGACCACACCACAGCCTGGGTGATGCTCTGCACCCAGGACTGCCATGACACTGCAACAGTCACCAAGTTCTGCACGGTTTCCACCTAAGCACAGAGGCATGGCTGGGGTTAAACAAAAAGCACTGGCTGGACTTGTCCTCTCACTTCTTTCCTAGCAGCCCACGGAACAGTGACAATTGGCTTTTCCATTTAATAGTTTAAAGTATCTCCATTCCCTCATCCTTGCTTCCCCTGCACTGCCAGGAGCTGCCAGAGCAGTCCCAAATGAGCCTGCCAGCCCTCCTCCAGCAGCCACAAGAGCCTTCTCCAGCCAGCCCCTTCCCAGAGGCCACTGTCCTCCTGCAGACACCCACCCAGCCGAGCTCTTGGGCTGGGGAGTGATGGTGCTGCCAAGTTCCAGCCCCTGGTGCTCCTGAGGGCAGGACTGAGCCTGGGGGGGCATGCAAAACATCCAGGGGGCTCTGGCAGCTCCCACTTGGCTTCACCTGCAAGGGAACATCAGCACCTCTCTGGGGCTGTGCACAGCAGGGTCAGACACACGAGGGACAGGTACAGCACTGTGCAGGACATCCTCTCAGCTCTGCCAGGGACTGCTCATGCTGTGGGAGCCACACATTCCATCCACACACCTGCTGGAAATGCTGGAATTTCTAAAAGTACCTCAAACTGAAGAGTGCCCCCTCCTCCTGTGGCAGGATGCCTCACATGACACTGAGAGGTGGGGGCTGACCTTCAGGGTTTGCAGTTTGTTCACTATTGAACCCCTTGCCCAGACAGGTCCTTGGCCAGCAGTACAGTTCATACAGAAAACTGCTGCATCAATCTTATAGGGAGCATTAAGTATCTTTACAAATTCACTTCAAAACACTGCTCCAAATGCAATTTAATTGCCCACAGTTTTGTCTCCTCGCTTGCCTAAGACTGAAAAAATATATTTGTTATGAAGGAATCTGTTATTGCTATTGTTGGTTTGCACTGTGTGGTTCCATCTTTACCATTTCAAATCCAAACTCTTTGGGGATAAAATATTGGTTTTTTTCTGTTGATTTTTTTCTTTCCAATTTCTTAAAATTGTATAAAAATAAAGGATTTCCACAAATGTGGGCTAAAGGTAACCAATAATACTTCTATGCTTAGGATCAGCTGTTGGAAATGTGGTTGACAGCCACAAGACCAGAAATAAACCTCTAGTGATTCTTTAGTTTAACATTTAAAAGACATGAAAACTTCTGCTTATAAAATTGACCCCATACAGAATGGAACAGCTCAACTAACAGCTGTTTATTATTACTTTTTAAAATAATGGCCCTAAATTTAAAAATAAAATCAAGTACTTCCTTTTATGATTTTCACATTATAAAACTGCACCATTCAAAATCTGTGGCCAGGGAATCCCCTTTGCAGTAAGACAGTTTCTTTTAATAGTCATCAAGTGTGTTTTCCAGGAAAACATTCCTAACATCCAGAATGGAAGCCAGCTCCAAAATGTGCTTTTGGAGGTGAGGGTTCTCCACCGTTTCATCTCTTGGCAGCTGAGGATAAGATTCGGGATAATTTCGAGTCTCCTGCTAGATGACAGTGAAAACAAAGAGAATCAGACACTCATTTCTTTCACACCCTCTAGGAAGAAGACTGCAAAAGGCCAATTTCAACCTCATCTATTCAGTATGGCAGAGACAGAAAACATTCTAGAATTTTCAGTTTTCTCTTTCCATTGATTCATAGATGGTCACAGTGGCAATACAAATGCCTGCTCATCTCAGATAGTTATTGGTATGTTCACTGAGGCTTTGCAGGAAAAAAAAATTAAACCACTAAAAGAGACAAAAAATATTCACCTGTACTTACCTACTAGGCTGGAGTTCATTTCTTGAAATTACAGACATGTAAGCATCTCCAGTGGGAGATTCATCTCATCCTAAAACAAATATCTAAGACATTGGGGGCAAATCTCTCCCCACTGACACAGACCTATTTCTTTTCCCTGGTATCAGAGCAGCCCAGGTAGCTGACTTAGGCCTGGAGAGCTGCTGGACATCTGCAGTTCCACAACTGAATACTGCACCTTTCAAAGCTCCAGCCCCATTTTTCCCTGCAGCATTTAAAATGGAGCAGGCAGTTTATATGCCAACACTCACATAAAATGGTGTAGATCCAGAGCAGACTTCTCTGCTGGCACAGCTTTAACCAACAGGGAGGCAAAAATACCATCTTCCTATTTAGTGTATTCATTTACACTTCAAAGACCTTTCAAAACCCATTCACATGAACACATTCCAGAAATAATGACCCACTCCTCCCCACTTCCCCTTATATTCTTGCTCTATACCTTTTTGGTTGTGTAGAAATAATAATTCCAAGTTATAGAGAGGGATTTTTCTAGCAGACAAGGCTGTCCAGAGTGACATAATTGAACTGGAGTGTGCCTGCTGTGTTACGTGCAGGATGAGGCTCCTGCAAGCCAATGGCTCCGTGCCTTTGGAGAGACACAAAGGCACAGCCTCAGTGCAAGCTGCAGGAGCAGCATGTGAGCATCAGTCCCTTTCTGAGGTCACCCTGGCCCTCCCACCTGACCAGGGCAGCTCTGCAGGCCTGGAGCTCCCACAAAGCACACACATCCCTGCATACCCGGAAGATTTTGTGCATCCTCATCGTAGCCGAACAGAAGATAAATCTCGTGAGAAGCAAGCGAAGGAATTCATCCCCAAAAAACTGAAGGAAGGACTGATCTGTAGAGAAGGCAGAGAAAGGCCAGTTTAGAAAGGCTCAGACCCCCCAGAGGCTGAGCTGGGCCTGGCCAGGCCGTACCTATGGAGCGGGAGTGGGTCAGCAGCTGGGCAATGTCCCGGTTGATTTTCCGGAGGTAATCCTGACACTTCTCCCACAATCCTCGGCGCATGCTTGATAATCCAGAGACAAACAGGAATGCCATTAAGGGATTGTTCAGAAAGAGTGTGAAGAGGCTACCCCGCTGAGACTGATCTAAAAGAAAAAATAAATCAATAGACAAAGGGATACATTTGGCACATGAAACAGAAACGCTGTCCCTGCCACACAACGAAGTCGCTCACCCGCTAAATTCCGTCACAGAGGAGCTACTCCTGGGTGTTAGTTACACCTTCTCTTGTGCAGGCCTGATCCTTGACTGGCCATAAAGGCTTGCTGGAGACATGCATTAACCCCAAGGCACCCAAACTGGCTCTGCTCCCTTTCTGGGAGCAGTAATGATGCCCAGAGCTGTAACAACCACCATCACCCTCGCTGGGCTGGCCGTGCCTCAGTCTCCCTGCAGGAGAGCCTTTGCTCCAGCCCTTGTTGGAGCCATCTGCAGAAATGTCACCAGCACTGATTATTTACCACATACACTAGCTAAACTTTATCATACTACTTCAGGGACTGGCAACCTGATTTAGGGGTTACACAGTAGTGGAAAGCTGCCTTTTCCTGAGGAATCCACGTTCTGTTTGGGACAGATACAGGAACTGCAGCTTGTTGGGAAATGCAATACTGCACATACCTTGTAATGCTTTTGGATATGCTGTTGGAGAAAGCAAGCACACCAATGGCTGTCCAAATAAGTTTGTGAAATTCTGTAACAGATAAGAATTTTGAAGTATTGATGGTCACTTTGCTTGCCTTGAATATTCAGCAAGTCAAGGGTACAAATCATATTAATGACAGAAGACACTAATGCCCCTCACACAGCTCAGCACTGGCAATGAGCCTGACAGATTCACTTAGTCAGAGATCACAGCACAGAAGGAATATAACCAACTACATTTTAAATTAATTACAATTATCTCATTTCATTGCTACTGATGGCAGACACTAATTTCATGGAAATATGGCTTTCAGTAGTAACACATGACTTGAAAATAAAAAAATCGTGTTCTGCAGTAAAAGTGAAAGCAATTTGGTTTAATGTCTTCCCTCAACACCAACTGAACTGCCCAGTCAAAACATTTCTTTGCCCTTTTCTTTCTATCAGGAGGAGCTATGTCTGATGAAACAGGAGGGCCCAGAGAAAAGTTTTTTAAAGTTTCCTTTAAAGCAAGTATGTCATAACCTGGGAAAAAAAGCCAAAAATCATGCACATAACCTCATTAGCTGTCACCAGAAGAGCTTTCTTAAACTGAAGGCTTGCAAAGCTATAGAAAATGTGATTGTGCCTGCATCCTTTCAGAGCACAGACTCAAACCCTGCCTCCAGAGCATGTGAGTGCCACACACATCTGCAGATTAGATTCTTAAAACTGCAGTTGTAAGACATACAACACCACAAGTATTTGCTCGTGAAGAATCCTCAAAAAGTTAGTTTTTTAATTCCTTTTGCTTTCTGCATAATTCAAATTAACTTTCCCTTCCAGGCAGTATATTTCAGTTATATTAGTTTTACAGTTAATTTGATCTAAATCTGCTAAATACTAGAGACAGAAATCTAGTCTAATCAAAATAAAACATTTCCCATCTCTGACAGAATGCTGAGTAGTGCTAGAAACCCCTCCAGCTCATTAGGAGCCCGGGGAAGACTGATGATAATGCTGGATACTAAGGATTGGTCTCTAAGGAAGAAACAAAGACAACTCCCTTGCAGGCAGTAACAAGAGGTCAGCCCAGGAATTGGTGAAAGAAACATTTGAGCCTGCAGGAGCCAGACACGGCTGGTTTGAAGTGTGCACACACTGGCAAGGTTTTACCTTCTCCAGTAATTCATGGTGTTCTCAGCACCATGAGCAGGCTGCCCAGTGGAATGAATTCCACTGTGTGTCACTCAGGTCCAGACCCAAGCAGCCGGGCCAGCAGTGCCAACAGCCCTGCAGCCCCACAGCCAAGAGCACCCCTGGGTCACAGCCCTGCAGCCCCACAGCCAAGACACCCCTGGGTCACAGCCCTGCAGCCCCACAGCCAAGAGCACCCCTGGGTCACAGCCCTGCAGCCCCACAGCCAAGAGCACCCCTGGGTCACAGCCCTGCAGCCCCACAGCCAAGACACCCCTGGGTCACAGCCCTGCAGCCCCACAGCCAAGAGCACCCCTGGGTCACCCGTGGGTCTCAGGCACTGGCTGAGAGCACTCTGGGCTCTGCCTCAGCAGAGGCTAAGCCAGGAGAACCTGCCCTGCAATCCAGTGCTGACAGGAGGTCTGGGTATGGAATGTCCTTCCCTTCAGTGCATGGTCAACTCCAAAAAGGATAAACTCCATTTTGTTTCAAATTTGACTGGTTTTTTACTTCAGTGTTCAAGGTTTCCAACAGAAGTATTGCTGATTTTTACAATGCATGTCATCTCCTTCCAAGAAAGAACTGCCCATCATTTCCAAAAGAAGTCACTTCACATTTAAGCTTTGCTAAGCTGAGTATTTATACCACATCACTGTCAAAGGCCTTGCATTCCCACTGGCTGGAGGTTTTGGTTTGGTTTGGTTTTAAGACTTTGCATTTTACCATGATCCTAGACAACAACCGCTACAGGAAGATATTGATTTAAAAATATTATTTCATCCACATATGCAGTGGTAACCTTCAAGAACACACAGACAGCTATATTTAAATGGAAGTGTTAAAAAAAAAAATCACGGCTTTCAGTAGATATGCTCGATTTGCAGTTATCTTCCACTTTCAGCTAAATATACAGGGGAGGAAGCTGTTCAAGTGCTGCTGATTTGACAAACTGGCAAGTCACTTCCTGGCAGGACTTACTTTCAGTCATCACCATTTATGTCCTGTGGAGAGGGGGAGAGGACGGGGATGCGTGCAGGAGAGCAGGGATGGGCTGCAGAAAAGGATGTGTGAGCATTTGCTGTTCCTGCTGCTACTGCTGGCAGTGACATTTAAATGTCAGGATAGCTCCTGTCCTATCAGGGAGGATCAGAGCAGCCACGGGGAAAAAAGTGAGTATTGACTTCAATTCCTCACACGGCTGCTCTTTGTTCATGGCAGCACCCGAGCCCCAGACACCTCCCAGCCCACAGGGGACAGTCACAGGACAGCTCTGCCAGGGCTCTCTGGGGACAAGGACCCCAGCACAAGCACAGGCAGGAGTGTACAAGGGCTGGAACACTGACCTTGCTTGAGAGCTCTGCCATGAACCTTCACTGGAAAACAACACAAGACACCCAAACCTGTCCCCTGACATGCCTGCCTGTGTTCAGTGGCAAGAGATGGGGAAGGTGAATGTCACTTCTGAAATGCTGAACTTATTTCTTTCTAGGTTCCTCGCATTTGTGCCCACACTGTTCTGATCTGGGTCAGTGCTCCTAGCAGCCACTTCTATAATCCTGTCCTAAAATACTTCCCAATCTCACATGGATGCTCCCCACCAGTTGTGCTGAACAGACTGCTGGGTTTTACACCCCTGCCAGCTCACTGCAGAACAACAAAAAGAAACTCAGTGGAGGTTACAGAGTCACTTACTGTGTGCCCACAAAACAAAGAAAACTTAATTATCAAATTTAAATGCAATACAAAAAGCAAATTCTACTGTAAACACTTGACATTATTCTCACAAGACCTACAAATCTACATGTGGAAATCCATTGCCCCAAACAGGTTCTTTGCTCTAAGCTTTACACAGAACCCAGAGCTGGAATCCTTTGCTCTCTTACAGAGCTGATCCATTTGACATCTTCTAACAATTCTATTAGAGAAGAAGGTGCTACAAAAACCAAAACCAAACCAAAAACCCAACACAAGCCATACCTTTTTCCCCTGAAAGAAAACCAATCCTCCTGATGTTATACTGGAATGAATGCCAGGAAAGAGCATAGGGAAATAAATCCCTTCCAAATGCTCACTTTCTCAGAAAGACAAGTAAATCACTCTAATTGTGTTTCCCTCCATTTAAATGGGGAAGGGAATTCAAGAAAAAAGCAGATTTGTTCTGAAACCAGTGCAGTGAATTTAAATAAAGTGGTGATTAAAAAGCCCTCTGAGATACATTACGCTACAGCAAACCAAAGAGCCAACCGAGAGGCCAGATCATTATCTGGCTGTCAGGCAGGAGTTCCCTGGCTCAATACAGAACTACCCTGGCTCACGCTGACCACTGATTTAGTACCTCTCCTTGGCCAGCACATGCCTTCCAAACAAACAGCACAGCCTGTGGACACTGAGCAAGGCACAAGCTCCTCTGGCCACTAGACGTCCCTGTTCCTCCTCCGAAACGCAGCTGTGGATGCTCCCTCCCGCCCTGCACATAATGGAGCTATAAAAAGGAACACAGAAGAAGTGGCACTTTCCCCAGATATAGCACACTCTTATTACCCCATTCATGAATGAAATACATGTGTAATGCTCTCCAGATTCAACTGGCCACCACGAGTGCAATGCCTGCTTCTGCATTACCCGAACTGCAGATTCCCAGAGGTGATTTGGCATGGAGCAATTCTACTGTAAGTCCAGAGCACCCTAGGAAGGAGGCTCAGTGTCCAAGCAAACACCACTCTACAGTAACACTGGATGCTAATTTGAGGCTTGTTACTTCCTTGGTTCAGACACTTTTCAGACACAGACACCCCGTGTTTTTTAAGATCAGGCTCAATGCTTTGACTCCTTTTTGTTGCTTAAAAGTAACTGAATGTTGGATGACTGGAAAAAAGAAAAGCACATTAGTTATCTCCCTCCCCCATGCACACACACCGAGATTTGTCTTTGGTATAAAACAAAAGTAAACCTCCCACCAGAGACCTTGGAAATCTTGAACCTTTTTTCCCTCCAGGAGGATTTATTACTTTCCAATGAGCGGCTGTTCATGTGCTTCTCCTTCTTGTTCCTATTCATAGGGTCAGATCCTGACTAGCATGCACAACCTCAAAAGAAAAGAAAGACTGAATACAAACTGTTTAAAAAAAATAGCCTGTTAAAAGTGTAAGCTAACTAGGGGTTGGCACTGTATCCTACCACAGGAGGAACTGCCTCCAAGGGCCTTACCTTGTAGGCAACGCTGTTGGAAGAATCCACGATGATGAACAGGGGCTTTCTGGTGAAAGGGTAGAGATCTCCAGGGTGAAGGCTGCAGAGAGAAAGGGACCCCTCAGAGCACCACAAGTGCTGCACAGCTCTGACACTGCACCAGTGTCTCAGCCACAGAGCTGCCCACAGTCAGATAAAAAGCAGACAGATTTCCCACGCTGCAGTCCCTAGATTCATACTCAGAGGGCAGCTGCACTATTGTCTATATTTGTCTATAATATGGACTGTGGGACTTCTCATTAGTCCAGGAGATGTTTAACTTCTTGAGAAGTCATCCACCACTGATCTGAAGTTTGTCAGTAATTAAGAACTTATACTGACTTACGTAAGTAAGGTTGAAGTGTTTAAATGATCATTTAAAGCTGCTCATCCACTTCTGAGTGTTCAAGCCAATCCCCACGATGATGTCCTGCACCGAGGAGTGCGAACTCCCGAGGTGTTGATGCATCTCTCCCTACTGCAGACAAGCTGCTGTGGGTTTGCAGGCTGCAGCACACTCACCAGTGCATCTCCTTGTAGGCCTGGTTGCGCTTGTGCAGGGCGTCCCCGTTGATGATGTCGCGGTTGCTGTTGGTCAGCACTCCCCCGAAATCGTAGGGACCTTCATGGGGAAAGGGGGCTCAAATCAGCAGGGGCAACTCACCCCTGCTGGACAGCTACTGACTACATGACAGGGAGGAAGCAACAACAAATCCCAGAGAACGAGGGGAATCTGAACTGCTGCAGTTGTAAGGAGGGGAGAGGGGAATGTGGAGGCTTCACTAACTGCATATTCCTTTTTATGCTTTTTTAGAAATTTCAGTATCTATCAAATAGAAATAAGGAATGCAATTTCATAACTTGTAATTTAATTATTCACTATTAACCCATAAATTAATTCAAATTATCCCAATATTGGCTCTTGTTACACCATAGAGATAAAAGATTAAAACTCATTACACGGCTGATCCAGGAAAATCAATACCTTTGTAGAATTACTGTATAAGTTTGCATATTCCAGATTCACAATTTGATCCAAAAATAAGGCTAAATGAATCAAAAAGACTAGAAATACTAATGTCATTTGCAGTTCTAACACTGCAAAAGGGAGAAGAGAGAACTCAGAGAATGACAAAGGGACAAAACAGCTTTAACCAGATTTCAAATCTGTATCAAATGTATTTCAAGATTTCAAAGTCAGAATTCACAATTTTCACATACACACGCCCTGGACATGTGTTCCCACTGTAAGCTGAATATTCTGTTAAATTTGCAAAACTGAGCTACCCCCTGAATGTCTGATGGAGAGCAAACACAAAAGCAATGGCTATAAAAAGATCAAATCCCACAAGATACCAAGAAATATTTCTGCCAGTGGTATGGGAATGAAATGTCACTAACTTTAGTAAAATAAAGTATTAGGGTTTCCTCATTCTGTCACACATTTGCAGACTTGGCTGACCCACATTTGGCCACCAAATGCAATTTTTTCAGGTTTGGAATACAAGGCGCCTTTCCATTTAAGGGAAGCTTTGGGGATACAAAATCAGGAACAGGACAAACATTAATTTAGCACTGTTACAAACACCTCACATGGTCTGCCAAACACACGGCTCGCAGGCAATGCACAGTGCAACTTGCAGCTGCTCTCCCCTTTAATAAGGCAGAACTGTGTGCAGGCCACACCACCTTATTAAAGGAATGCAGTTGTGATGGGTTCCTTGGTGAAAGCTGCACACTGGGGTGCAGCTCCTCAGCTGACTGAGCCTGGATGCCTCTGCCACAAGCTCTTAAGCTGAAACAACACATGCAGAGAGGGGCACACACCACAGGCCTCAGAGGACACACTGCAGTTAGGACCTATCACCAAGCTGCAGCAAGAAGTAAAATGTTAAAAGCATTTTTAAAAAATCACTGCCACTGTCCAAAGCTGACAGGGATTTTCTTTTTTCTTTTAACATTTTGAGAGCTCTATAAATCATGCACAGGGGTGGACAAAGCATGCATCTTATAAAGGAATGCAAGTCTCAAACAGATGAGGTTTTTTACAATATTTAGGATGTTAAAAAATTGTTTTGATTTTTTTTCTGGAATTATATAAACAGATCTTTGGACCGTGTTTACTTCAGCCAACCAGTTTTCAGCTTTTACATTGCAGCTGCATCCAAATATTCTGCTAGATTGAAAAGAACAGGAGGGTGAGGTGAGGGGAATTGTTAAAAATCATGAGAAGGGCTTGAATTGTCAGGTTAATGAGCGTGCAAATAGACCAGTCCCTGCAGCTGCTTGAGTCCTTCCACCACCCATGTCCTGGCCACACGTTCTCCTGGTGCTGGGCATTGGAAAGATCAGAGTGCCATGGAGCCATTTTATGAACTTTGTGCTGATGCATCAACTGAGCCACGTGGTCTTCAAAATTGGGAGGCTTTTAATACTTCAGATGCATCAAAAACTGGATGTGTCCTTTGAAAAGTTCTCAGGCTAATGCACACTAATTAAAACACAAAGATTTAATTATTGTTCGTGGAAAATAAAGGCTATCTTACTAAGCAGACAGGAGAATCTAATTGACTTGTCTTTTTAAAGGAGCTTTGTGACATCTTTCTTGGTCACTTGTCCTGGAACATAAGGAGAATTCAAGCCCTGTTCATGACAGGGAGCATTCCTTTATTGTACCTTCACTATCCGAACGACCTGATGGGAACACGCCCGTGGCAGACAGGTAAATCAGCAGCACGCTGTTGGCAGGCAGCTCCTGCAATGCAAACAGGGGACCAGGGCCAGGGAAGAAAGGTACAAGTTTATTTTAGTACTGAATCATCACCTCCATGAACACACTGTCATTATAATTGTGCTACTCCTGCTTCTGGCTCCCCTCCACTCTGCTCTTGGTGCACGGACTGGCCCTGCCCCAGCACAGACACCCCTTCCAACAGACCAAAAGTGTCACTGATGAAATGTCTGAACTTGTCTCCACACAAACCTCGAGGCTGGCAGCAGAGCTCCAACAGCACTGACAAAGCACCTGCCTCCACACAGACTCCTTCACTATCTATGCAGATCTGAGGCTCTCCAAGATATGGAACCCAAAAGCTGCCAAGATCCACGCAGAGCCCAACTCCCCGACAATGCACAAGGGAAGCTTTGTTTACAGTTTGAGTGGGATACAGGACTGGAGATTCAGTAGCTGTGCAGTGCTCAAGAGCAACAATCTCCTGATGCACTTCCCCCATTTTGGTTTGTGCTTGGCATGATATGAAATGAAAGAATACTCTTAAGATTTTTCTATTCTCCAGATCAGTGGAGATGCACATTTCATTTAGTCTCACAAACAGTCCTGGATATTTTTTATTATAAATAAATTCACCGATTTCACAAACCTTAAATGATGCTGCTAAAAATGTATATAGCTGGCTAAAAGTTGGTTTATAAAGTAGGTATTTATGGGGGTTTTCCCGCCTGGCTGGTTTCTCTGTTGACTCCTGTTAAAAGAAAGAAACAAAATACTACTCAAAAACCCCAACAACCAGATATTATCAAAGCAGTCTCATAACCCTCTAAACTTCTATTTATTAGAATGTTCCAACACACTACCCACACAAGTGGTCTGCCCATTCTGCATTTCCTATTATAGTAAAGCAGGATGCACAGTATTCAAACCATAACTTTGTATTATTCCTCACTGAAACTTGTGAATTAAATCTTTCTTAGTGTCTCAAGTATCACCCAAGAAATGAGTGACAAAATTCACACTTCATCTCAATTAAATAAATGAAAAATCTCCATATTTTCTTTTGGCCCCAGATAGAAGACTTGATACTTCTCTGAAGGGGACATTAACTTTCAGATGACTCAGTAATCTGATGAATCCACGGGTTTGAGCTACTCTTCACTAATTTCTAGTGGAAGTTACACCACCTTTGCTAACCTGCTCTGCACAGTGACAATACTGAAGGAGTACACTACATAAAAGCAATCAATCAACAAAAAACCCAGTTAAGATGTGCTGCCAGGTTTGTTTGAAGTGGAACTGACCTGCATTCCGGGTTTGTTCATTTGAGATGCCAAGTTCATGGGTTCCCTCTCCAGAGCCTGCAGCATTCGGAACATGTCGATTGTCAGTTCACTGAACTTGACCTGCAAGAGAGTCACACAGTTTATTCTGCCAGATACACATTAAACAGAATTGCTCTGGAATTATGCAGCTGAGAGACTCCACTGCACACCAGAGAGGCCATTCTCTCTCAGGGATCTGTCAGTGTCATCTTTGAATCTCTGAAGAGCTGTGAATGACTTCTAGAAGAGCTCACAGAAAACAGAGTCTATTTGTTACTGATCTACCAGGCAAGTCACTGCACTGCAGACCCCTGCTTCCAAATTACAGGCTTCTCTGGGGTGTGGATTAATCAGGTGCTGAAATGGCTATGTACTATGAATTCAGACAAAATCTGACAAAGACAGATGAAGCGTAGTTTAAATATAACTCCCTTGCTTACCTGAAAAGAGCTCAGAGAGAAGCCAAGAAATTTGTACAACTTCACTATCATTATCATCTAAAAACAGAACCTAGAATGTCTTTTGAAAACCTCTTCCTGTTGCCACTGAAGTTGCAACAAGCTGGAGTGAGTCATATGAAAGCTCAAGTCAAGCTTTTTCTGGATGTATCTTAGAGGTCTCCCATGCTTGAATGTTGTTACAAATAATTCAGTATATGAAAATCAATTGTGTCTACTTAATTGACATGTTGAATATAAACAATAAGAGGTCAGTACCACAGATCTAATAGCTAACATTTCATTTTTAGGTCTTTTTTCTGTGAACCCTCTTCCTCTTGCTACCACTGCAACCATCACAATAAAATTATTTCAGTGTTCTCCTCTGTTGGAATCCCTGTTGTATGATCAGAAGGGATGTCATGGGGGGGACTCCAAAGATGCAAACCCAGGTGCCCAGAATTTCCTTTACCTGGTTGTTGCAGTTCCCAATAATGAGCGCATCTGCAAGAGCAAGCTGTCCCACTATCATCCCCTGCTCCAGCAACGGAGCTCCCGTCTCAGAAAGCCTGTTAGAGGTGATTACAATGGTGTTGTCATCATTTAAAACCATGACAGGGTCTGCCTAAAAAAAGCAACCAGAATAAATCAAGAATTCAGGAAAGCATACAGATTTGCAGTCAGAGAGAAGTCCACAGGTCTCGGCACTTAGAATAAACATCTCACGAATGAGGCAGATTTTTAAAATTACTTTGCCATACATGTATTTATATATTTCTATGCAGGCTAGAGGGTCAAGCCTTCCCAGCTGGAAAAGCAAAGTTCTTAGGGACTGCAAGAAATACATGGGACAAGCACATGAAGGTACAGCAGTGAGAAAAGCCTACTGCCTCCAATGACATGGACTCTGCTTCAGCTTTGCTGTACCTGAGGAGTCAAATGTCATCAACAACCTCACAAATTCATGCAGAATAAACAACATATTCCTATAGTCATAATAATTGTAGTTTTCCTATTTTAGCTTGCTTTCCCTTTGTAGAAATGAATAGAAAGGAGGAGAGTGAATGATAATGGTGCCACCCATTCTGGCAGTATTTAAATATTCCTGTGAACATGTGTCAGTGATTCATGGGACAGGCATACTGAACCTGCACTGGCACACCTGCTTCCCTCACAAATGTGGTGATACAGCAACACTTCCATCAACAAGATAGAAAACTCTGAAACAACTAGAGGGGATGGTATTCTCACCTCAATAAATGCTGCCACTTCCTGAAGAACCAGGTTCCACTCCACCTGATCTTCAGTATTGAAACGATGAGTGTAGTCTTCAATTTCATCTGACAGCTCCTGATGTAAACAGTTCAGAGATAGACACAGTCACTCCTAAAACCAGACTTTAATAGACAGTCAGTAACCTTATATCTGGTTAGCTGTGCTGGCCTTTAAGAATAATAAATAAATAAATTCCTTGAGAACATATGCAGCACACTCCTGACTAACATGCCAGCCAAAACGCGCTCGTTCAGCAGACAGAATGCCAATGCTACACTGAGTTCTGGCAATGCAAATTGTCTTTTACGTAGGTCCAAATGCAAAGAATATCTGGAGTTAAGTATAATTATCCCACTCACAGCTATGTCACCGGTTATTACCATAAGCTATGGATACCAGGGACTCAGATTTCAGCTTGCAAGTAACTTTAAATACCTTGAGCAAGGGGATGGTGTGGCTGGTTTAGCTGTGCTAAGCGAAGCCTGCAGTTCAGGGTAGCTGTGACACACACAGCAATGCAACCTACACAAAGCTGTCAGGCCCAGGAACTGCTTGAAGTGAGGTTGTCAGAGGGCTGGGAAGCATATGCTGTGGGGAGCAGCTTGCTGTTCCTCTGCTGCACTTCCAGGGCACCTCCCTGTCTGGGCTGCAGCTACTGGAACATTTTTACTGGCTGTTCATTCAAACAATGCAACCAAATCATTTGATCCCGAAGTGTCATTATTAAATGTCTGAATGACAGAAGGTATTCCCTATGCTGGATGTCAGATAGACTAGAAAAGCAAGGATCAGCAACCTCCCACCCCTCAGCACCTTTATCCTGATTCTAGCATACCTTTACAAGGTCCTTTACAACATCCATCTTGTTGAGCAGGAGACAAACCACTATGAACCTTGCATAGTAACGCAGCTTCTTAACCACTAATTCAGGCCTAGACACAACAACAAAAACACCACAGCCAAATTTGAGATTAAAATAGAGGCAGGTAGCAGGGGTAAGGAAGAGGAGGAGTTTAAGACCACAGCAGGGCTGAACAGTTGCAGATTAAGAGTTCTGACTGAACTCATGTGGTGATGAATAGCCACCTGGCTGCTTGGAGGTTTAGTTAAAATTGAGTACAGGGACATAAAAAATAACTTAAGAAAGCAACAGTCTCTTTACTTGACAGGGGCATGGGAGTCAGATATCATGGCTGGCAGTTCAAACCGTGCTGTACTGCAGTATGAACTGCTGTTCCCCTGAAAGGCCTGATGAGAATCACACAGATTCCTCTGCTCCAGCCCAGCTGACCCATCTTCCACCCACAGCACTCTAGCTCCCAGCACTGATACCACTCAGGATTTAAAATGAGAAAACTTTGGGGCTAATAGCCTTCTATCCAGGACCAGGTAACAGAATATTCTTCCAGTCATATAGCAAAGCTCTTATTTATCCTGAATTTTTCAATAGTGGCAGAAGGATTAAAAGAAACTTCCTTCAACAACATGGATTTTACCCTACAGTTTATAGATCCTTGCTGCTTCCACACACCTTTCTGGTCTTGAAAAAACAAGGGCCTCCATTCAGACATACCTGTCCTCTTTGTTGACCTGGGAGTAGTAGGACCTCTGCCTGATGGCTGAGTAGAAGGAGAAAGCCTCGTTGAGATAGCTGGTTTCAGAGGTGCGCAGGCTGCGGGGAACAGGGGCATCAGCTCACTGCCTCACAGGGAAAAAAGCCACACCAAACCCTCCCTTCCTGCCCCTCAGCCAGCCTGGGCCTCCCTGCAGAGCTCCCTCCTCAAGTGCCAGCCCAGGAGAGCCAGACTCTCACTGTGGGATGTGCCAGACCTTGGATCCCATTTCAGATAACATTCGGAGCTGCCCATCCTGCACCACACGTACAGGTGATGGCGTCACTGAACAGGAACATTAAGCTCCCAAACTTGTAAATCACATTTTTCCACAACATTCCAATGCAGCACACGTGGAAGACCCTTTGGAGGCAGGAGAGAAGCCCTTGGGCAGTGCCAGTGTGAGCAGCAGTGTGGCACCAGGCTCACAGGGGCCCATCCCTGCAGCACCCCATGCAGTCCCCAGGGCCCTCATTCACAAACAGGCATCGTGACTCAGCCCAATCACTGACTCCTCCTGACTGAGCATCCAGACATTTGGCATGCAGATGCCACTAACCCTGCATTGCCCACTGAATCCTCTTCTGTGCTTACTTACTAATAATGGTAATAGAGCTGCCCAATCTTGGAAGCAATTTCCCCAATTTGCCACCTCTTCAACCCATACCGATTGTCCAATACTTGTCTATGTCGCAAGAGAGAAAAGAAAGATTAAAAGGATTCCCAAACTTCCCAGAACATCCCACCAGACAAGACAAAGAGCCACTGCAAGGCCAAATTCAGCTTTCATTACTGGTGCAGCATTGCCAGCAGCAGCCCCTCACAGAGCCAGCAGCACACATACCCCACAAGAAGGGCCGTTTATCTTGCATAAACTTGCCAGAACCAGACATAAGTGTGTTGCACAAAATACACACAACAAAAGGTCACCACTTCCCAGGAGAACATTCAGACTATGCAGCCAGAGGAAGGTGTGAAGGATCAGAGCCCACGCTGCAGCAAGAGACTTCACACCATTCCAGATTCTGCTCTGCAGAATCCATCACCTCCTCAGTAAGAAATTAAAGCACCACACACTCAGGTAGAGCAAAAGGGTTTGTTTAAAAAGTGCCACTGAACACTGCAACATTTTAATTCAATAGACTGTGAGCACTGCAGGAAGCTGCTGTTCCCTCCCTTCATGCTTGAACAACACAGTGAAATCTCACTCTTAGCTGGGGCTCTGGGCATTCCAGAGATTAAAGCTGCACTTAAACCCACACAACACATCTGCCTACAACATTTCCTTACCGGTGCTGCTGTTGGAACTTCCAGAGTTTGGTGTAAACATCAAATGTTCGCCCAAAATAGGATTGCCACTGCTTCTGCCCATACTGAGGTAAATCCCTGCAAGAGACAGTGACAAAAGCAGAATTAGGAAGCAGAATCCAGTCAGCCCAACATGACAGGAGCACGTTTGATTCAAAGTCAGAACTGCTTTGCTCAGGATTCATTCACATACTTTAGAATCCTGCCTGCACCCAGAACTACAAGAACCATGATTGCCAGAGTTTCTCAAAACCTGTTGTTACTGGATCTCTCCAAATAGGAAATGATCATGTAGGAACATGCAACAGGTGTTTGAAAATACCTTACAATTTTGCTAAAAGAGAAGTAATTATATGGTTATATGCACAGAAAGACAAATTGGACTCTTAAAATATCGTAATACAGAAAAACCCTACCCAAGAACAAGCAGATGGAAGTTAGTAAATATAGACTGAAAATATTTATTGTTACTGACTAAGGAAGGAATCTTTTCAAATGGATACAGCCATGTTTCAGAAACAGAGCCTATGACATCACAACCAAAACCAGTGCCCCACTATCAGCAGGTCAGGCCAGCATATGGATGCTCACAGTTAGCACAGAACTCACTGGGTTCTGTTACAGCATCACCACATTTGTCACCCTCTCACTCACAGCTAGTGACACAGCACAACCTGAGAACTTCTGGTTTGCTCCTGTCAGTCTCCAGTGCTACAAGGTGAGACAGCCAACCCAGTTCAGCTCTGCTCTCCTACTTCCCCTCGAATTCCACGCTGTGCTATATTTCCACCCCACAACTATGATGTATTCCTAAGGATTTTGGCTTTAAACATTTGTGCTCTCAACCCTCGCTCCTCTCATCTCCCAGGAATTACCTGAATCTTGAAATAAATGCAACAGAGGGGACCAAACCCCCGAGTCCCACTGAGCACACATTCCCTACATATCTACACCAAAGCTCATTCAAAGGAGGTGCACAACTCTGCAAGTGGAAGTAGAACAGCTTTTCCAAGACAGAATCCTCTTTTATTTGATTCAAGATTGATTTCCACAAGGAATGCTCCTTCAAATCACTGTGCTGGTTCATGTACCACCTTCAGCAGACAGAAAAGCAGCACATGCCACGTCCAAGCCTGGAGGGCAGAGACCAAGCGAAGCAGCACCCTTAGGAAACCTTGCCATGTCCTCTGAAGGAGCCAGAGAAGCAGAGCAGCACACACCATTTCAGAGCAGCATTCTGGCCTGCTTCTGCTCACTGTAATTGCTTTAACAGCACCCGAGGTAGGAAAGGAAATTAATATTCTTCTGCTCGTCAGCCAACTGTACTTCCCACACAGCTTGAAGGGACCTAGCTCAGCTACTACAAGTAAAATGAATCCCTTACCAGCCTGGAAAAGCATTCCAGTACTTGGTGCTGATATTCCATGAAGATGCCAAGGAATCTGTGCAGGATTTTACCAAATTAAAAAACAAAAAAATCCCTTAAAACTTGCAATGGGCTGCTCAAAATCTTGCAACATATGTTGGTGTAGCAAGGGGTAAACAGGAATATAAATATGTGCTTCAGGGTACCAACATCTTCATTCAAATACAGCTTGATACAAACACATGCAAATTTAAAGCATTTTCTGCAAGGAACAATTCACCACCTTCTGTCGTTGTAATAGATGTAAAGATTTTAGCTAAACAAAAGAAGCCAAGGCACTGTCCAAACACACACCCAAGATACAGCACAGACTCTGACACAGCAAGAGGTAGCTTTAATTTAATATAATTAGCACATCCACAAGACTAAATGTTAAAGTATATGTAAAAATATATATAATTACAAAACTACACTGAAATGGATAATTTTTTTTAAAAACTAAACAAATCAAAGTTCCCTAACACTAACCTATAGAATGCCTGAATTAACAAGCTGACTTGAAGAACCCCAACCCAAGAAAGCACCCTTCTCTCAAACACCAGTAGCAGCACAAACTAAGCATTAAGCAGGTAGGGTTATGGTGCAGGTATGGGCTGACGATGCTCATGCATCTATCCCTCATCAGTGAGCTAATTAACACACTCACCTTCACCTCCCCCTTCCACACCTTCCTCTGCACATCCTAAACATCCTAACATACCCTAAACACAAAGCCCAGGCTCGCTGTGCTGCACTAGATGTGAGTGTGTGGCAGTGAGAGGTGTTTGCAGAAGCTCTGCCAGGGCAGTGCCCGTGTGCTTGGCACTGCTGTCTGCAGCCACTGCTGCCTGTCCACACGGATATTCCTCCTGCAGCCTGCCTGCCTAATTGCAGCTGGCATAGCTGCACAACACCATGGATTCCTCGGCTCCCCAGGGAACGGGAAGGATCTCCATGGAAACAGACAGTAGCACTTGTTCTTTTGATAGTATTCTGACATGGCTGTAATAAAACTTCATTTATGACAATACATTACTGTGCTTTCACTACTGCTTTTTGCAGACTAGAGCTGCCCTTCCTGCCATCGCTCTACTGCTCTGTGCTGAACATCACACATGCTGCTCCCATGTACCAAGAAATTTTGCCATAAGAAAACGGATGCATAAGCAGAAGAGGACATTTAGTCCACAGAAGATGGGGATGTGCATTATTTGGTGAGAAACAGCCCAAAAGAATCCCAAAGCCTCAGCAGATTGCAGAGTGGGCTTTTAGCACAGCTCCTCCCACCAAAGGGGAATACATGACCCAGAAGCAATTATACCCCCAAGTTGAGAGCTCAAGACCTATGTTGTAACAAGACTTATTGCTACTTCCAGATCTACAGGAGGACACCAGAGCAGTGAGGAGAGACAAAGACAGCAGGGGGGTGTGCCCAGCCCAGGCTGCTGGCTCAGCACTGCTCTGGCTGAACACCACTACAGGAGGGATAAAGGGGCAACTAAACAAATTCAAATGCAGAGGAAGGACTGGAGATTTGATTTAGGACATGACAATAGCCTGCAACAACAAGTGGAAACCATTTCCAATTCCTTGGCTTTTAGAACATTCCAAATGGGACGTGAAGACACAAACTCTGATGCTCTAGAATGATGGGTTCCTCACACAGGGCACACAAGACTGGTTCTCCTGCTGCACTAGTGTGGCTGCTGGATAAATTTCACAGACAGACCAGAATTTTATCCAATTCTTGCTATTCGCTTTGTCTCCACAAAGGCTAGCAATACTTATGTGCTCATAATTAATTCTCTGTCAGGAGTTCATTTCAGCCATGCTGCCAGATAATACTGGCTGAAACCCAATTAAAGGTGCTGAGGTGTGCTTGGCCAGCACCACATGGAAGTTGTCACACAGGGACATTAAAGACGCTGAGAAAGTCCCAGAGACTCAGCAGCATGCTTCAAAGAGGAAGGCTACAATAACTGTCAGTTTAACATTCAAAGCTTTAAAGACATTCACAGTTTTGACAGGTGATAAAAAGAGACAATTTCCTTTTATGTTCATGGGCTTGTAGTAGTTACAGGCTCCCGTTCCCAGAACCTGAGCAGCAGTGGGATAAAAATGCTGTGGCACAGAGCCAGAAGGTACCTCCTGAGCCTCCTTTTCTCCAGGCTGAGCCCCCCAGCTCCCTCTGCTGCTCCTGGTGTTCCAGACCTTTCCCCAGCTTTGTTCCCATCCCTGGACACGCTCCAGCCCCTTGGTGTCTCTCTTGCCATGAGGGGCCCAGAACAGGACAAGTTGCCTCACCAGTGCCCAGTACTAAGGGACAATCACTTTCCTAAAATACAGTTGCTGAAAGTCTTTTAATTCCTTAAAGTTCCAGGCTTCTTTGTGGTACTGAACACATTTAAGCACTTTTTAACATTTAAAAGAAAATAATACCAGTGACAATACACCATGACAAACTGCTTCCTTACAGCCTCCCTCTTCCCAGCCTTTTCCAAGAAAAAAGCAAGTGGGAGTGGGGAAAGGGGAGAAGAGAGCCATTGCAACACACTTCATCAACAGTTTATTCTAAGTTATAGCCCAGGCTAGAGGCACCAGGAAGAGAGCCCCCCAGGGTCACCCCAGCAGCGTGGCCTCAGGAGATGCTATCACTGGGAGCACTTTCGAGCAGCCACCTTGGCACACCATCATATGTTTTCCTCAAATGCTGTATTTGGCATCTGCATTGGGAAGAGAGGAAGGAAATGCTACTGAAACAAAGACGTGGCAGGCTGAGCCCTTGCAATTTTTGGCAGCAGCAACAGCTAAGCAGCTGCCAACACAGCTATAGGCTCAGCTCCCTGTAGCTGAAGTGCCCAGAGGAGGTTTTGGGGAGGAAATCATTGCTCTCCTCTCCCTCCCCCATCACTTCTTTTCTATGAAATGTGGTAGGGGCAAGAGAATAGCAAAAAACACAGCAGCAAAGGCTGTCATCATCTTCAATACAGAAGATGTCAGGCATGAATCAAATGCATTTATTATGAAGCAACTGGACTAAGAATTGGGATGCTTGCCAAGACATCTCCAGGTGAACTCCCCCGAGAACAAGCACTAACACAGCAGATACCTGAGAATTATAATGTTGCTTTATCCTGTCATTATGCCCACGGGAATCACAAGTCTCAGAGGTGAAATGGTGGTCAAGTGTAAGAAGTAACAGTGCCAGGTTACAGTAAGGACAGAGGTTCCTGCTCTGCAATATTGCTATTTTCGCACAGCAGCACTGGCTGCTTAATCCCATCTCTGGTTTTATTTGCAATACTTCATCCAAAGGTATTCTCCATTTTCTTTTCATTTAGCTGGACAAGAAGGTTTCTTTCTGGAAAAGTACCATGGACACACTGAGAAACTCCATCTCTCATCTCCAAACCTGACACAAGCACTACCTCCCTCCACAGCACAGGAGGCACAGAATGGCTGGAGGGTCTCTGCCACCTCTCTGGTCTGAACTGGAGCAGCACACAGCCACACATGAACTGTGTTCATTTCAGGCCAAAATTTCAAGCAAAATCTACCAGAAAGCCAGTGTAATGTCCTATACAGCACTGGAAATCCTGGTCTCAAGATCTCAGCCCTTTTGCTTTATACTCTCCTTCATGGGGGGTCAAACACAACCACCAAGAACTCCCTGTCTCTATTGCCCATTTGCCATTCTGATTTTGGAGCACAAAATGTTTGTTTTGGATTTGGTAATCAACTTCTAAAGCACATGAAAGGATTATCAATAGCGGGGGGTGGAGGAATTAAAAGCATCTTTGCTAACCATCTGTGTTTGACTAACAGCAAGCTATAAGGGCCCAAACATACAGCATTACTCAGAGACCAGGAAGAGGCTGAACTGCCAACCAGATATGAGCTCAAACCCCTGTTACTTAAGAGACTCTACAGCAAAGCTTAGAAATAAAGCAGCTTTGGATACATGCTGTTTAACTCGGCATATATTGACATAAACAGGATATCCATATTACTGCCCAAACGTGTATTCCCCTGCAGACAAACCAGTTGGACTTTCCAGCTGTTGTTGCAGCTGCTTAGTAGATAAATGTAGATTTTACCTTTTTCCACAGTTCAGATTAAGCACTTGTTTCAGCAGACACACAACAGGGCAAGGTTTTGATGTTTCTGTTTATTGCTTCCTAAATTTCTTCCCCAAAAATATTCCCTCTCCTACTTTCCTCCCATTCAGAAAAATCCTCCTCACTCCTTTCTTTTTCCACAGAGACATGCTTGCTGTGGACTGCACACAGTCACACCTAATCCTTAATTGTGGCCTTCAAACACACCATTCACAATAATGACATCAATTTAATGGGATTTCCAAATTCTAGTTTACTATAAACTGGAACCTCTGCTCCTACAAACATTCTTACACACATGGTCCAAAAGTACCCATACAGGGGTGCATTATTCTCTCCTAAAGAAACTTACTGGATTTGGCTTTGAAATGTTCTGTACTGACTCCAGCATCACATACTGCAGTGTGTGTTCTGAGGCTTTTCTGAAGGAATACTGTCAAAAATCCACTAACCTTAAGCCATTGAAGAGCTGCTTAGATTTATCCAATAAGTAGCAAAAGTCTGTCACCGTTTTTCTCTCTGCTTGAGGAATATCATCTTCAGCTCCCCCTGATGACATGGTTTCTTTCAGGGCAAGCTCAGTCCTATGAAGATAAAAACAGCCATAATTACTCAAAAATCAACGGCTGCTATGAACTCATCCAGACTGAGATGCACGTTCAGTTCCATGGGGATGTAACACAGAGCATGCAGTTCTCCACAGGTTACTCTTCTCAAGACTCATTAAAAAAACAGCTGAGAATCAAGGCATGGGACCAATTATTGAACAATGCACTAGTTAACAGAGCAAAATTAAAAGTAACAGTGGTACAATAGTCACAAAATAAAATAACTCTGAGGACTGTCTTCACAAACACAAAACTGACAATGAAAGGACTGTAGCACAAACAGCACTTGGGTTTCACACTTGGACAAAGAAATCCTCTCCAAATTTGCCTTCTGCAAAGGTATTTATCCTGCAGCTGTATTTAGAGACTAGCCTCAGCTCTCTTGACATTTCATTTTCTTCTGTTACTGCTGAAAACTGTAGCTCAATGGCTCCTATTGCTAAAAAAGGGCAAATTTAGCTAGAATGCTAAAAAGTACCCTACCATCCTTCCCCTCTGCATCTTCATGACTGTTTAATTCCATGGCCTGCGTTGCCTACAAAGATACCTGCAGATCCCTTTTTATTCTTCACATGAGTAAAATGTTATATTGTACAATAATCACCTGAACAAAAAACTAAGATACAATGTAGATAATTGTAGCATTGAGTAAGGGAATATGAAAGCTTACAGAGGCAGAGTGGCTTTTAAAAATCTTACTCCAAACATACACAGATATCAAATTATCCTTTTGAGCATACAAGGATGAGCTACAGACTTGGCAGCAGAAACAACAACGAAACACCTCTGGAAATGGCTGCTAGGTCTTCAGCTCTGCCCTGCTCAGGATTTTTGTGCAGGATAAACACACCTCTAACTGGGCACATGCAGGGCTTTTACTTCCAGCAGCTTCTCTGCCAGTTCTGGGGTGTTTCTGGTAAGCAACAGGTTTCCATTTGTGCAGCACCTCTGTTTGGATGCTATTTGCACAAAAAATTCCCTACATGTCCCAGTCCAAGCCAGGAAATGGAAAAGCTCACTCTTTCCAGCCATCAGGAAGCACCCAGAAGCATCTTTCAGCAACTGGCACAAAAAAATCCTTCACAATAACTAAAGAGGCTTCAGAAATGCTTCCCTGAGCAAACACTTCATGCCTAACAAATGCAGGAGAAACTGGCAGTTTCCACCCAGCTTTTGGGGTAAGGGCTGGCAGGGCCATCCTGCCAACCAAGCAGTCTCATGATTCCCCAGTTTAGACAAGATGCAGCCCACACAGACTTGTTTATACACACCCACGTGACAGCCCACCAGAGCAAGGCCATGGGGGCATTGCACACACCACTTGCTGAAGAGCTCCAGAAAAAGGTAAAAAGTCTCTCTTTATTGTCAGGTAACTGCAATATGGGTGCCAGATGTCACAGGCTTTGGCATGAGCCTGGCAAGAAGGATGTGAATACTGTGAGCACCAGCCTGAAACCTCTGAACATTCACATTTACACAGCACAGAACAAACAACACCAAGTACTCAGAGCACCAACATATGAGATTGGAGTGAACAGTGAGACCTGAAAAACAAATGTCAGAAGTAGCCAGGAGGTGATTCAGGAATTTCAGGAGGAGGGACAATACCCCAGGTCCTGTGTGCTCCACAGCAAGGGTGACCTAAATCCTGCAGCGAGCCCGTAGGTTCTGCGCTCCACCGTGGCAGTCCAGGCACTCCAGAGCAGCTTCAGGCACTTTTGCAAAAATTGAGGAGCTTGCTTAAGTTGCAAAGTATGTTTCAGACAATCTAGATACCAGTCTTTTAATTTCAAGGCAGTGAATTTTATTTTACATCACCCTTAAGTTATACTACCCAACAACCCCAACCACTGCCAACATAACCTGTGCCAGCCCTGGCACAGGCAAATAAAACCAGCTAGGCTCTGGGTTGTTTTTTAAAACCAAGTACTTCTCACATGCAAGGAGTTCACCAGGCCCACTGTGAAGAGGCCATTTATGCAATCAATAAAAGATACACAAGAAAATCCATAGCCTGCCAATGTGAAAGGTATTGGAAGGCTGGAAAAACGTGAAGCTGGTTAGTTATTTCATGCACTGGTTTTGGCTTATCATGCTCTGGAGGGGGTGGTATTTGGTGCTGTACAAAGGAAGAGCTACTATCAGGAGCAGCTCGGGAGAGGAGGAGGTGCTCCTGCACTAAGGACTGTGTTGTAATGCAGCAGCAGTACAGACAGGAGGGAGAATTATTATTAGAACAGCAAGTGGGCACAGCAAAGGGAGGAATACAGCTCCTGACATGGCCCTTTCCTAAGGGACTGCTCAGCTCCAAATGAACAATGTAAATAAAAAGCAACCAGGAGCACATCCACAGCGGGGACCTCTCCTTCCCTTTGATACTAGAAGTTATCACATGGATCCCTGCTCGTCTGCAGACAGACAGTTCTCCCAGCCCAACTATACCAGGAATATCACCTACTTAATTTCTTGTTCTCTGTTTGATGCTTTTTGCTTTCTTTTGTGCAAAAGAAACTGTTGGGATGTTTTGAATGACAATTTTTTCTTAAGTAACACATTAAAAAATGCTCTCCAGAGTCTGCAGAAGGAGACACTGAAACATTGGTTTAAAAGACTGTTAAAATAAGTCAGAAAATGGTGGCTTCCAGCAGAACTTATTATTCTCTCAAAGATTTTGCCAACTCCTCAGGCCATACAAGGCAGAAAAGCTGTGCTCGCCAAGCCCCACACTTGGTGTGCCAGGTTCTTCCCTACAAGCTCTCAGAACACACAATTCCGGGTTTGCTTAATGCAATACATTACTGAATTCATCCCACTGCAGCACCCAGGGTAGCAGAGCTTCACAGACACCCCAGAGGATGGCAGCTAAAGCTGGAGCTGAAGGGCAGCAGAGGAGGGACATGGGACAGGGATAGAGGTTTCACGGTGCTGGGCAGGATTTTTAAAGTCAGATGTCACTTACATCACACACGTCTCCACTTCCCTGTGGTTTGCTGTCTTTTGGCTAAGGTTTTCCAGGCTTAGCTGGAAGGGAAAAAGAGTGCTGAAGTTAATGGTATGCACTCCCCACTGGCCCTGCCCTGGGATTCAGGCCTGCAAAGCAAGGCAGGCTTTGTGAGCCATGAGGGAATGCTCTGGGTCAGGGAAATCCAGCTGACAATGCAAGCCCAGCATGGATATGTTCAATAAGTGCATTCCATCCTCTCAGATTTGCTCCATAGCCAGCATCACTGTAAGCTGCCATTCACTGCTTGGGAAGGGGAGGGTCCCCACCCAACGTGTGCCGGCAAAGGAAACCTCACACACTGAAGGTGCAGCCGTGGTGTAGCCTGAGGGCACAGGAGGATGTCAGGGGTCTGTCAGCTCATACATCAGTGAGGGCAGGCAGAATCAGGAGCAGTTTCCTGGATGTGGCACCTTGACCTCCTGACAGAGCACTTGTACAACTCAACTGCCTTTTTTTAAGCCATCACTTCTTCTCAGTTATGGAACCTTGACTGGCTTTCAAATGCTCCCCAACCCCTGATTAGAGGCACAAGTAGTAACCAAAAAACAAAAGCAAACACACTTTGTTCATCTATCTTGTTGATACAGGGTTTTCCCCAAAAGAAAATTTTCCTAGAGCTGCTCTCTACAGAAAGCAATGGTGGAAAACACATTCCAGTCTATCAGGATTTTGAAGCTGTCAAACCTTGAGTTAGAGACCAGCTCTCTTTCCACTTTTCATCCTGACACATCTCCCACAGCATCACTGCCAAGAGGGGATGTGACACAAAGCCAGGCGCCCAGCTGGTATCTATCTATTCCTTATCTGCAAATTACCAGCACAGATAAAACCAACCAGATCGTCCATACACAAAGCCTGGAACCATCATGTCCCAAAACTCTATCAAAAACCAGCCAATCTTACCTTCACCAAGCAGGATGCCTACCTTGGCACCCTATTTGCCTGTCCTTTTCTTCTGCAGACTGGCACCCTTGTGTCTCATGTTTTCTTTCAACGCTATACTGCACGTTTTGGGAAAACCATCTGTGTGTTTCCATGTGATCTGCTCAGAGTGCTAGTCCTGACAGAGCCTCAGACAACACAAAATGCATTAGAAACCAAATTCATTCCTCTCGCCAGAATACCTAACTCTCCATCAACAGCCACTGCCCTGAAGTTCCCAAGACACCACTCAGTTCTGCCCAAGAAACACTGAAATAAATAATTAGCAATTCCCCCAGACAGGCACTGAAAACCTCACAGCCTGCTGGAGTCAGGAATTCAGAGGGAATGGCAATGAGCAGCTATACATCAAACCATTTCTTCATAAAATGTAGGCACGGGGGAAAGATTTCTTTATGATTCCAAGGTTTTTAGTAAAATTTGGAAGCAATCACAGACATTCCTCACCCCAACCAACCACTGTTCACCTCAGGGCACGTCTGCACTGCAGTGGCTGCAGCTCTTCCAGACACATCCAGCTCCTATTCCAGCAGGCTGCTGGATGCTGCAGGAGGCATCTGGGAGCAGGCTGAGCCCACACCTGAGCTCCTGGCAAGGCTCAGTCCCGGGGGACAGCAATGCCCAGGGCCAGCTCAGAGAACAACCCGAGCGCTGTGTCCCAGTGCTCTGTGCACATGGACCGCACAAGGAAAACGACACAGCCTGGCCTTTGGGGACACTTCTGTCTGAATGCCACAATGACAAGCAACTTTAGCTTAAGAAACAGAAACAAGCAGCTGTTGTATCTAACTGATAATATTTGTTAAATCATGTTCTCTCTGCCTGGATGTTTGTTTACTTCAAAGGGCACTAAGGAGAAAGGAACTACTGATTTCATATACAAATTACAGCGTGGCAGACAAAATCACCTGCAAATGTAACTAGGTCTAGCAACTACCTCCTATTGGGAATTCTCCAAGAAACTGGTTTTCCTACTAAAGTACACATTTTTAGAGCTAACTTGCAAAAATACTGCTACCTCTAAAGATCAGGCAATAGGGAAGTCACTTAAAACAAATAATAAAAAGACACAAACCCCAGTGAGCCTGTGTATGAACACACCCACACCCCAGTGCACGAGCAGTCGGGGCCAGCAGTTGCTCCTATAGGCACAGGGAGCCTGGTCACACATCGACCTGGATTGATCCTTCCCTTTGCATCCCAATAAATCCAACTCTCCCTAGCACAGGGCAAGCTGCCACTGCCCTGGGGCTCCACACGTTCTGAGGGGCTGGCCAGATGCTTCCTACAACACAACAACCTTCTTCTGTCTGTCCTTCCCTTTAATAGATGCACTAAACACATTACTTCAACTTCTTTTGAATGTTGTGAAAACTACTCACTAGATAATCTTCAGGACCTTTTCCCCTACAACAACAACAGTTATATTAGACAAGGGATTGAAAAGCTGCTTGGAGAAGAAGAAAAAAGAGGAAGCCTGATCATGCAATTGCATTCCTAAAAAAGGGAAAGGAGCGGGCAGGGGATAAATAAGAAAACAAGATAAACCCACGCACGCACATTCCCCAGCTGCACACTGCTGTGGCCAGTGGAAGTGGCAGAGAGCAGGCACTCAGTTACACAAGAACTGTTATACAAGTTACACAGATTTTATTACTGCAAACTGAAAGTTTATGCTCTCACGTGAATGCATCATTCCTTCCTCAGCCCATCAGAGGATGAGAAGAGCTCAGAGTTAAGGGGAGCCACCACCTCTGCATTACCTGTGAAATCTTGTCAGGAACAGTCTCATGACTTCCTGTAGCAAAATAGGCAGCACCACAAATTCAACTCCATTCTGAGTCAAATGAGTTGGAAAATACAACATACAATGTCAATCCCATTACTTTAACTTCAAGTAAGTGCTTTGTCTGTAGAATCAGGCTTTTCGTATGTTTCAGACGTATTTAAAAATCCTTTTATTGCTAGGAAGCACACCTGTCTGTATCCAGAACTGCAGTTTTGGCATCCTTCCCCTCAGAAACATGCGGAGGTGCTCATTAACATCATGCCATGGAAACCGTGCAGTCCCTTCCTGCCTCCTCCACTGAGATCATGGGAGCCACACCTCAGCAGCAGCCTCCTCTGAATCCACTCTGGGCGGATCACTTTGAACACAGGAGACATGATCTCACCATGGGATGCACGTGGCCTTCAGTCGCCTTCAGAACACAAAACTTTCGCTTCTCTTCTTTATGTTTCTGCCACTGACAATTTGTTCCAGCTTTGTCTGTTCTGCGCCCTCTGTGATCCCTCTTTCACTGCAGTTCACGACCTTTTGTGTATAGGATGAACAAAGGGCACAGGCTAAAAATGTCATCACAGTTGGGCCTCTGCTCTTCTACTGACTTCACTGGTTTGCTATTAAAAACAGGCTCAAGCTCAAAGTCAGACCAAAGAAGAATTTCTGGGTCATCAGAGTCTAGGAATCTCCAGAAGATGGTGCAGAAGCAATGTGGAAGAGGACATAAGTATTTCTTTTCATCCAAATTCAAATCATGAATCTGTGGTGGTGCCTGCATACCACCTACATGGTACTTAGCAGTCATTTGCTTTGTATGAAAGAGCAAGAGGAAAAAAACCATCAGGCTGGCCCACTCTTGGCAGGGGTGGGAGGGTAGAAGGGAGACAGAAAAACACCATCAGCTGTGGCAGTGAGCTGTGTGTATTTACATTTCACAGGCTGAACTATTTAGTGGTTTATTTACACACAATGTTCTTGGAGCAGCTAAAATGCCAGTTGTGTTTTATCTCGATTTTGTGGCAATGCGCATAAGCCACAGAACCATAGCAAGAGTCTACAAATGAGAGACGAAGCTCGTACATCTGGAAAAGCACATGAGCCACTGTGAGAAAGGAGAGAGATTTTGGGAGCGCAGGCACAACGAGGGCTGAAATGCATTAGTTATGACAAGCCACCAAAATACAACCCAGGGACGGGAAAGCAACGATCCAGTCACAATGCAAGAGCTCGTGCTGCAGGGATTGCACATCCCAGGGTGGCCCTGACAGCCAAGCCAACCTACGGCACAGCACAGCACAGCAGAGCAGCCTCGGGTCCCTCCGCTGCCCCTCCATGTTAGAGTGAGGAGGGAATTGCAGTCAGCTCCATTTTATGCACATTTGATGGCAAGACGCCAACACAACTGTTGACTGAGCCAAATCTGGGCCCCCTTGAACTAAGCCATCACCTAAAGCAGGGTGGAAAAGCACATGCCTCTCGCCTTCCCAGCAGCCAAGTTCCTGAAAAGCATCCCAGTTACAAGAAAGATTTTTCTTTCTTTCGTCTGACAACAACTGATGTTTTAACTCTTTTATGTACACTCATTAATTTGAAATGAAACAGCTAGCAGGGAGCTGCATTGTACAGCAGTGGGATGGGGAGATGGAGAGGCTTGCTTCCAGCCTGCCAAATGATTTACTGGCTGGCCCAAATGGCAGCTGAGGCCAGCGCCCGATCTGGAGGGCAGCTATCGTCACACTCTGCAGCCTGTTCCCATCCTCAGCCAAGGTGCCAGTGGCTGCCTTCCAACTGGAACTGTATTCTGACAAAAGGGAATGCAGGACAAGCTTGGGAAAGCTTTCTGATCCCTTCGGTTCAGTTCTTCCCTCCAAACCAGTGTTTGGTGGGAGCTGCCAGCACGCTTGGGAATTGCATGGAGAGCATCACCACTCTGGGACTTCACCTTCCTCAGCAGGTACAGCTCCTGAGCTGTGCTGCCTCACAGCAGAGAAATCCCTCTGCTGACTCCTGCTTTAATTATATTTCAAAAACTCAGCTTCTAGTCTGTGTTCCATTATATTAATAGCAATAATTAAAAATACTTCAAACAACAAGTCCTCTAAACCTGCAGTTCCATCCAGGCTGTCTGGCAGCGCACACTTCCCTTCCTGACTGACATCCTCAGGGAAGCAGATTGATGGTTACTCTGCTCCATCCCTGCTGCAGGGCTGTGCTGCGCTCTCTCAGCACATGTAAGCTGCAAGGTAATATTTGTGTTGGCAACTTCCTTACATACTTTACAGAACCAGACCTCCATTTGACCCTCAGTGCAGCTCCCACACACAACTTGGTCCACTCCTTTGAACTGTCTCCTCCTGCTGCAACAAATGCTCCATACCATACCTCTGTTTCCAGCCTGTTTAAAAATTCCACAGCTTGAACAGAGCTTTTGTGCTTCAACAGTGCACCTTAGCTATGAAAACCAAGCCTGCAGAATGCTCTTATGCAAGAACACCAAGCAAAATTATTATAAAATCTGCACGTACAGGTCTTGGTTGTCCTTCTCCCAGGACTGCTCCAATGGAAGCAATCATTTTTATGAAAAAATGAGAACTGTGTAAAAAGACATCAACATCCAGGTTTTTAGGGTCAGAATCCAATAGCTGTACTGTGCTTTAGGGGACCAGTGGGGCTGTTGGGGGTTTTTGTTTCATATCAGCTCCATTGCAGCTCTTTAGGCAGTAACACAACCTCAGAACAGACTTCCACACCAGAGATCTTCCCTCCTTACCCAAAGCACACCAAGCAGAATAAAAGATAAGCCAACAAAGTAACGTGTCCAGATAATCCAATGAATTCCCATTATCCATCTGTGCCGCAGCAGATCATCAACAGCTCCATTTAACGCCAACAGAGCCAAACCAGAATGAAAGTGATGCAAGCAGAGGGGAGATGTGAGCGGCACACGGCAGCGAGGCAGCTGCAGTGCGAGCAGGGGACTGTGCAGAGCATCATGTGACAGAGCAGCGGGAGAGCTGCAGCCCCCGGCTCCCACCTCCCGAACCTGCGCCCTCCCTGCAAGCCAGCGACACCCCCATCTGACCCCAGGGCAGAACCGACTCGGGCCAGAAGCTTCTCGACGCTTTGAATCGGTACGCTCCATTTTTATTACTTCCCTCCACAAAATAAAACAGGGACACAGAAATGATTAACAATGAGCTGCATGTTGCTCCCGCTGGCATGCACTTTCAGCATCTTTATCACTTGTAGATCGACTTTCTCAAAAGAGCACAGAACACGGTATGTGTGTATCGTTCTTGTATCATTCTTACACGTAGAGCAAAGCCCAACTAGATATGGTTGTGATTAAATATTCCCTTGTTTGTAAGGGACTTGCTGTGTAATGGATTGCCAACAGAATTCTGATAGTTTATTGCAGCTACATTTCAAGACAGAACAATGATCACATTCTCCTCTGTAGAGCAACAAAATATTCCCTCTCTGCAATATAGTTTCTGTGAATGGCTTTTCTATATCCTGCAGTAAAGGACCTGGCCATCACATTCGTGACTGTCTGTATTGCTCTGGCAGCCCAGGATGACTGGAGAATAATGCTCTCTGCTCATGGTGAAGTGACTCACTCTTTCATTTAACATAAATCGTGGTCCAATTTATCCAAACATCTTGAATGAGACTGTATTAATGTGATTTGAAAATGAAGCCTCTTTTCTACACACATGCTCCCCAGCAGGGCACCAGGCTCTCAGAGTGCTTCCTCCACCATGCCAGGGACAGCACAACCACCACACCACAGGGTCAGGCGGGGTGAGGAGACCCAGGCAGGAGCTGCCCCTGCAGATCCCACAGCAAGACTCATACCAGGATGATTTTCTACGACTGGCAAAGACTGCTACCAGCACAGCAGTCCCGCTGCCCGCAGGAGCACAGGGAAGCACACACATTCTGGGAGATTCACTCACATTTTAGTCTTCATATGGTCCCACAGTGCTGCTTTGCATTAGCTGGACAAGATGCCATGAATTACAGGTTGCATTTGGATAGCTCATGCAAAATCCAGATTTTTTTTTTTTTTTTTATATTAAGGGGTCCATTTTGCAGGTTGGAGGACCAGAAATGCTTGGCCCAGACACAGCTAAAGTGTAGAAGCTTGGAGTCTGGTTATTAAATGAGAGACATGCAACTCAGACATCGATGAAAACAAGTCCTATTCTGTGGTAGGAAATTAGATCTAGAGCTGAAAACCTGCAGTCTTGATCTTGAATGTTTTAACAGGTTATGGACATTTTTATAAGACAAGAAATTTGAGGGGATGACACAACATAACAACCATCCAGCTTCTGTCCCCAAGGGCATCTCATGTCACCTATTGTCCAAGACACCTCTCTGTACAAAAACAAATAAAAATTGGTGACAAGGGAACTGCTGCGATGGAAGTTTAAAATCAGAACGAACCCACGACGATTCCAGCAAACCGGCAGCTTGGATACCCAGCACGGCACAGACTGCTCCCGTAAAACCCTGCAACGTTCCATCCCAACGGGCTGGCCTGGCGATGCCGATCGCCGCTACCTGTCAGCGGCCGCTGCGCACCGGCAGCCCCGCCGCGGCGGGCGGGAAGGGAGCGCGGGCAGCGGCGAAGTTAATAACGGGGGTCGTTCGCGTGATTATCCCGGCTACGCTGCCAGCCCAGGCCTAAGCGTTAGACGTGTCACATCGCGTTCCTCTTCTCCGTTAGCAGCAGAGACAGCGGCGAGCACGGCCCCGTGCCGCCGCCGGGCCTCGGCAGCTCCCGCCCCCGCCGCCCCTCACCGCGGCACCGGGCACGGCCCCGCCGCGCCGCCGGGGGATGCTCCGCGGGGCCCCCGCCCGCACCTGCCGCCTTACCTGGGCTCCCACGCGCGGCGGGGCTCTTCCGCCGGGCCCGGAGCTCCGCGGGGGCGAGACCGCGGTGAGGGGCGCGCCGCCGCCGGGCCTGCCCCGAGGCGCCCGCAGCCGCCGCCGCTCCCGCCCGCCCCCGCCGCCGCCCCGCCCGCGTCCGCCCGCGCCGCCGCTCCGCCCCCCGCACCTGGAGGCCGGGCCGGAGCGGGACAGGCGCTGCCGGGCGGTCCCGCTCACCGTCCGCACCCGCCGGTCCCGACCACGGTCCCGGTCCGGGCGCGGCCGCAGCGCCGCCGAGGTTCGGGGAGCGCGGCTGCCGCCTCGCGCCGGTCCGCGCCGGCCAGCCCCGCCCCTGTGCGCTCCTATTGGCTGCGCGCCCAGGCTAACGGCGAGATTGCGTTCTGATTGGCTGCGCCGGCCGTCAATCGAGAGGCTCCGCCCTCCCGCGGGCTGCCGGTGAGGCGCGGCGGCTGCTTGGATACGGCGGCGGCGGCGCCGCGGGGAGCGAGACCGGCCCGTCTGTCTGTCCGTCTGTCCGTCCCGCGCGGCCGCCTGCGCGCACGGTCCTGGTCCTGCCCCTGTCCCTGCTCCGCGGTGCCGCGGCGGCCGCTCCCGCCCCGCCCGCCATCACGTCCCCATCACTGCCGGTGTAAGAGTGCCGCACCTCGGCCAGCGTGAGAACATCGGCTGCGCTCTGACCGGGCTCCGGCGGCTGACAGGGAGCGGGGGCGGCAGCCGCAGCACCGAGCGGCTCCCGCCGGGCTGCAGCCCCAGAGCCCGGGGCCAGCCGTGCCTCCCGCCCTGCCTGTCAGCGCCCCGGCCGGGACCACCGTGCCTCCCGCGGGGGGCGCGCGGCGCGCAGGCTCCTCCCCCCGCCCAGCGCGCGTTGGTACGGTCCGGCCGCGGCACCGCCCCTCTCCCTGCGCCGCTTCCGCCTTTCCGCCCCGCGCCGCTCGCCATGGTGAGAGAACCGGGCCGCGCGTCGGGAATCCGCCGGCATCCCGCGGGAACGGCACCGGGATGCACCGGCATCCCGCGGGAACGGCCGCCGGGCATCCACCGGCATCCCGCGGGAACGGCACGGGCATCCACCGGCATCCCGCGGGAACGGCCGCCGGGCATCCACCGGCATCCCGCGGGAACGGCCGCCGGGCATCCCCCCATCCCACCGGGCCCGGGAATCCCGGCAGTCCGCCCACATCCCTCCGGGCCGTGGGCCCGCACATTCGCGCCGCGGGGGCTGAGGGCGGGCGGGATGCGGGCCCGGGGGTCGGGCAGGGGCACTGACGGCCTGTCCGCCGCCCGCAGGCCAAGATCAAGGCCCGAGACCTGCGCGGGAAGAAGAAGGAGGAGCTGTTGAAGCAGCTGGAGGATCTGAAGGTGGAGCTGTCGCAGCTGCGCGTGGCCAAAGTGACCGGCGGGGCCGCGTCCAAGCTGTCCAAGATGTGAGTGGGGCCGGGGGCGAGGGCAGCTGGGCAGGGGCCGCCGAGTCCCCGGGCACCGTGCCTGAGAGCCGTTCTCGCAGGCTGTGGTGGCTGTGTGCTGTGGAAAAGAAAAACCTGAAAACCCGCGTGCGAGAGGAGCACATCTCAGTAGGCCTGAGGGCCGTGCGTGTCTGTTCTCGGAGGAGCCGAGCCGGGCGCTGCCGGTTTGGCTGCAGTGGGGCTCAGTGTAAGGGCTCCGGAGCACAGGCGGGTTCTGTACCGGGGTTCGGCGCGTGGAGCTGCTCCTGCACGGTGTGCTCACATCCCTCTCTTTCCCACCTGCAGCCGAGTGGTGCGCAAATCCATTGCCAGGGTGTTGACTGTCATCAACCAGACCCAGAAGGAGAACTTGAGGAAGTTCTACAAGGTAAGGACAGGCGTTTTCCATAAGTGGCCTTCACACTCTTGCCGTTCACAATTACAAAGTTTGTGGGAAGGATTGCTACTTAAAACTCAATGAAAAACTATAATTTATGTTCAGAATAAAGTTCTCTGGTCACGGTTGCTTTTTAAATATTAGTGCAAGAGTTCTGCAAGCTTGGTGTGAGTCTGCTTTTGCAGGAGAGTCCTCTGGCAGCATCCCTTCTGTGGGGTGGACTTGCTGGGAGATGTGGTTTGCAGAAATGCAGATACTCTTTATTTTCAGTTTGATCATCTCGCAGGTGACAAGAAATTCTTTAATTCTATATGACTCTGTAATTTTTAGAATATCACTTCCTGGAGTTTGAATTAGATCTTACTGGGTGGGGAAAAAAGATCTTTACAAGAGGCGCTGGATAAGTGGAGCTTGTAAGATTCGGCCTTACTTAAACCTGAGTCAGAGCTGCTGCAAAAGTTACAGCGCAGCTGTATCAGCTCTCCACTGATTCCCAGTGGAGAGGAGGCTGCTGAACTCCAGGCTGCAGTGATAGTCCCAAGGAGACGAGGCTGGGGCAGGAGCTCAGCTCGCAGCAGTGTCTGAGCTCAGCTGCTGGGTGTCTTTGCAAACAGGGCAAGAAGTACAAGCCCCTGGATCTGCGGCCCAAGAAGACGCGGGCCATGCGGCGCAGGCTCAACAAGCACGAGGAGAACCTGAAGACCAAGAAGCAGCAGCGAAAGGAACGTTTATACCCGGCCCGGAAATTCGCCATCAAGGCATAGCCCTGGGCCAGCTGCACTCGAGGCATGATGGCTCATTAAATGGAATTTGCTTTGGAAGTGTCACTGGTGCTTTATTTGGGGGTGGTGGGTAAAAAGCCCATAAAGGAGTCATCAGCTTAATGGAGGTAAATGGGAGGGTTCACAGAAAGTGTGCAACTGCTAATGAAAATACAGACCTGGCAGTTTATTTGCCTCTGAGGAACAGGCAGTGAATGGGTACAGATCTGTGAGGCTGGTTCATCCAAACATGTAAGAAGTATTTAATCTGAGGTTGGTGTAGAATGGAAGCTTTTCACAAAAGTTGGTAGTCAGTCGATATTTATCACTATTGATCACAGTTTAAAATTTTATCTTGTGCCAGTGTTAAAGGGTTAATAGAAAAAAAAAACAATTAGCTGAGGGATTTTATGGGACATCATGGAAACTTGTCAGCGCTTGGTTCAGATCCCTGGGCAGCTCCTAGCTCCTGAGAATTCCCTGGGGGAGGGATAGTGTCAGACCAGGTTTTCTCTGTGTGGGTCTGGGTGCTGCTGAGGCCACGTGAGCTCGGGGTATGAAAAAGAACTGAACTCCACAGGTGGCACCTCTGAACCCCCAGGGCATCCGTGGCCTCAGAATTCCTCACTTCTTTATACCTGCAAAGCACAGCACGGGTTAAATGGTTTGTCTTTGTCCCCCATGGAGTTCTTTGGGACTCAGAGATGGAGCTGCAATTCTAAAAGCCTTTTTTGGTTCTGATTGTGAGGGAGAGTTCCACAGTGCTGCTGGAGCGTGAGGGCTGCAGCACTCATGGTTTGTATTAGTGCAGCCAATGCATTCGAACATAAAAAAAATCCCTATCCATTAGGGAGTTCCTAGATTGGATCCAGATTCTGTTTAGGAAAAATATCTTAATTTTGCTCCCTCAATTAAGGATTTTTAAGCCTCAAGCTAGTTTTATCCAGAGGGGCCTAATCACCTGCAGTGCAGGGAATTTTCCCTACATGGTGGCATTGCGAGGGTGGCTGTGCTGTGATGTCACCTGGGCTGTGCTGGCTTTGTCCCTGTTTGGATGGGGTGCACGGGACGTGTCTGGCAGGAGAGGAGCGGGGCTGGCACAGCCTGGGCCAGGCAGGCTGCGTGTGGGAACAGCTCCTTGGCTGGGCTCTGCTCCCAGGCAGGCGGGCAGGGTCACAGGGGCTGTGTCTGTGTGTCTGTGTGTCCTGCTGGGGCCCGCAGAGCACTCCAGGGGAGCATCAGCTGCTTGTCCCCCAGGAGCAGGAGCACCCTGTGAGGGTCCCAGATCTGCACACTCCCATCCAGGAGCCTGATGCCAGATGGAGACGGGAGAGGGGCCAGTCCCTGTGCTGGGAGCAGGGCAGGCTGGGGCAGGTGGTGCTGCCAGATCACGCCTGGCTGCATTTGGGCTTCTCTTGGGAGAGCTGTGTGCCCTGTGCCGCTCCAGCAGCACGGCTGAGGGGAGCCTGGCAGCTCTGCCAGTGTTCCTGACAGCACAGCCAAGCAAACAGGGCCCAAACTCTGCCTGCAGAGACTGGTGAGTGTCTGGGTGTGCTCCAGGTGTCACCTTCCACCCCAGCCACAGGAGCACTGCTGAGAGAGGATCTGCTGTCTCAAGGATCCGGTCAGTACAGATCACTGGCAGGCCAATCAAGAGGGTGGGAAACACAAAAATGGGGAAAAATCCCAGCTGAGCAGGCACTGAACATCCAGGGGCCGTCCCCATGCTGAAATGAGAGGCAGTACTGGAGAACAGCTCAGGCTTCAGTTCGTGCACAGCCCCCAGTAACCATTGGAGGAGGTGAACATGTTTCTGGCACTGCACTAAGCCCTGGGGCTGAATTACTCCATGTACCCATGGCTGTGTGACAAAACCAGCCAGTCTGGCCCTCCCATCAGAGCTGCCCTGTCCTGTCACAGGAGACATCCTGCAGACAAGCAGCCCTTTAAGTGACCAGGAACAACAGAGTGATTGATTGAGAGGACACAGAGGTGAAGTGGTGAGCTTCCTTCAGGGCACAGGTGGAGAACACTCTTGTTCCTGCTGTGAGAGCAAGGCAGAGCCTGTCCTGGCTGGGGTCTGGGTGGTCTGTGCTGGTTCCCTCTTTGCCAGCCAGCCGCAGAGGGTGCCCATGCTGCTGTCAGGGCTGAGTGGGAACAGCTCCTTGGCTGGGCTCTGCCTCTCTGGCCTTGCTGGTCCCCAGAGGAGGGGGGCCAGGGGCAGGAGCCCCCAGGGAAGGGCCACCCACTCCCCAGAGCACCCCCGTGTCACACTGCCTCTGTGGGGACCACAGCAGGTCCCATGTGTCCCTGCAGGCTGTGTGGCCCCTGTCCCCTGTGTCCCTGCAGGCTGTGGGGTCGGTGTGGGACCCCGCCGTGCTGCAGCGCTGACCCCGCAGCGGCCCACGCCAGCCCTGGGTTAACACCGGTGTTTGCAGAGCCTTGGAAGCTCAAACTGTTTATTTGCTCCTTGTAACTGAAGACGTCCCTCAGCACTGGAGAGGTTTCCTGGGAAAAGATGTTCTTCAACAAATAAATAATTTCCCGGGTGGGGATGAGGACGGAGGAGCAGCTGCTGGCTGGCTGCAGGGCACGGCCCAGGGCTGGTGCTGCCGCAGAGGGAGCCCTGGCCCTGTGCCCTGGAACACATCCAACAGGACCAGATGTTTCTGTCCAGCACAGCAGGACCGGCCCGGAGCGGATGGTGTCAGTGGGAGCTGGCAGCACCCACTCCTGGACCCAATTCTGCATCTGGGGCAGGGCCTGGGGGCTGGGGAGGAGGGGCTGCACGGGGCAGAGGCAGAGGCAGATGTGAGCTGTATAATCACTGAGTCCTTCAGGATGGAAAACACCCTCAAGATTGAGTCCAACTGTAAACCAAATATTGCCGAGGAAAGCCTAGCACCCACCTCCCTTGGCCGGTGTTTGCTGCAATGGACAATCCCCAGGTCTCCTAACGCTGCTGGCATTGCCCCTGTCACCGTTCCTGTCACCTTCCTCTTCCAGGACGGTCCTTGGCTGCTGCCCTGAGTGCTGCCACAGGGCTGACCCTGGTTTCTGCACACAGTGGGACATGGAGGGACATGCCAAGCACTTTGTGGGCAGGGAGCTTGGGAGCGACCACCTGTGCCCGCCCCGGTGCCCTCGGTGTGCCATGCCTGGCACAGGGTGCTGGCAGAGTTGGCCCTGCGTGGCTGCGTGCGAGCAGCATGTCTGGTGCAGCTGGGACCACAAGCCCCAGGCTGTGAGGCCTGGCAGGAAAATGCCTCATCCTGCTGGCCTTGCAGATGGCCTGGGTCTGCCCGGGGCGGCCGCCCGCGCTGGCCCTGAATGCCCGTTTTGTTGGCCACTCTGGGGGAGGACTGGCCCCGCACTGCCCCGGTCCTGCTGCTCCATGAATACGGGCAGTGTGTGCACACAGACACAGCACTGCAGGGCTGGCCTGGGGGCGCCCAGGGCTGGGGGCTGCTGCCTGCTGGGGCTCCTGGCTCCCAGCCAGCCTGGCTGAGCATCCCTAGGGAGATGGAGACAGCCCCTGCATCAGGCTGAGCAGAGCCCGGCCATGAGAGCTCCCCGCTCCCTGCCATGCCATGCCGTGCCGTGCCAGGGAAGGGGTGTGTGCAGGTGTGCCCTGCCAGCCCGAGGGGCTGCCATGGCGAGGCTGGGTGCTGTGGAGCTGGTGCTGTAAGCCTGGGAAAGGTTTCTGTTTCCACTGGTGAGTGAGTCAGCGGCGGCACCGCCAAGCCCGTGGCTCCCCTCCCTTCCCTCCGGCCACCACCCGCTGCCCAGCCCTTCCCACAGCTGCTTGGGGTCGTCAGCCTTGGCACCTGTGTCCCCATGTCACACCATGTCCCCACACCTCCCTGCAGCTCCTGGAGTCTGACCAGAGGCCCTGGTGGCACCAATGTTCTCCCACCAAACATGTCCCAGCATGGGCAGCAGATGGGTGGGGGCACAGCAGGAGGGCTGTGGCGCTGGCACTGAGCCTTCTGATCCCCAGGGATGATCTGGGGGCGACTGGCGTGGCTGGGCACCATGTCCCAGGCAGAGCCCTCTGCCAAGCCCCTGGTCCTGGAGCCTGGCAGTGCCCAGACAGCTGAGCTGCAGGGGATCCAGGTGGAGGCAGCTCCTGGATGGGGTGGAACAAGGACTGAAGTTTTGGTGCACCCTCAGTGGTGCCAACAGATTGCAACCATGGCCAGGATGCCACCTGCCCACTGCACATCCTGCCCACCCAAAGAGTGGCCACCCCCAGCTCAGCTCAGCCCCGAGACAGCTCAGCCCTGGGCTGGCACCGTGGCGAGAGCAGGACGCCAGGAAGGAGGCAAAACCACCGCGAGCAAACCAGCCCGGCCAGTAACTGAGAAGGGGGCGGGGGGATCAGGGCTCGCTGCCCGGCTGCACCGAGGACAGGAGGAGATTCTGGGCACCAGGGCCACCTGCCCAGATGGCCTCAGCTGCCCTTCCCCAGGCGCCACATCGCTGTCACGGGGGCTTCGAGCACCACAGCCCCCCAGCATCCCTGTCTCAAGCTTCATTTGCTGCTTGCTGCTGAACTGAGAGATTTTAATCTTTTAATCACGTTATGAGCCGAGGTGGTGCCGGCCACGCACAGGAGGAATGTCTGGAAGTCAGCAGCTCCTGTCGCAGTGGGAGCCCATCCTGCCCCCACCCACATGTCCCCACTTGGGGACCCCTGTCCTCCCCAGCCGGGCTTGTCCTGCGACTGAACTGGGACCAGGGGCAGAACGTGGGACCAGAGACCAGGACCAGCCATCAGGGCCAGTGCCAGAGCAAGGATCAGCTCACAAAGGGCTGCTGGGACTGAAACTCCTCACCACAGCCCAAAGGGCCCAACACAAGGCAGTGCTCTGACCGTGCGGGTTTCATTCCTCCCTTCCCGTGTTTTCTGAGCGAGGGGAGCAGAGGGGTGTCCGCAGCCCAGCCCAGCACAGCGCGGAGCCGCGGCAGCCCCTGCAGAAGAACAACAAAGCCCTGGAATTAGAGATGTGCTGGGAGTTTACTTTACCACAAAAAAATGTCAGAAATCCGTATTGTTTGTACAGGGATTTGCTGGGGATCGCTAGATAAAAGCCTGGCAGGGATCAGTCGGGGGGAAATGTCGGCCGGCTCCTTTTTGGTGGCGAGGACCCACGGCCAAGAGAGGGGGCAGCGCATGGCCAGCGTGGGGCTCGGGGCAGGGCAGGGGCAGGGGCAGGAGAAGGGGCAGGAGCAGGGGCAGGGGCAGAGGAAGGGGCAGGAGAAGGGGCAGGAGCAGGGGCAGGGGCAGAGGAAGGGGCAGGAGCAGGGGCAGGGGCAGGGGCAGGTGGTGCCGTGAGCCAGAGGAGGACCTGGGAGCAGCGTGGGGCCGGCAGAGGGGGAGCCAGCCCACTCCGCAGTGGGAAACATTTCCGCATCCCGGGACGCGGTCGGTGCCAGCCCCGCAGCACGAGGCGCCAGCGGCCGGTGCGTGCGGGGCCCGGCGGGGCCGAGGGGCCGCTGCCCCGCGCACACGGACGGGAACGGGAGGGCGGCGCAGCGGGGGCTGCTCTCACCCGGGGCCCCCGGCAGCTCCCTCCGCGTTTGCCAAGCCCTGAGCAGCGTCGGGGCAGCTGCTCGCCGTGCCCACGCTCAGCTGCTCCGCGCTCCCGAAGGCTCTCGGGCCGCAGCTCAGGCTGGGCAATGCCAAAGCTGTCCCCAGGACCCGGCTGCTGTCCCGGGTCTGTCCCGGGACCCTCCTGCCTCTGCACTGCCGTGGCACCGTGCCCGTGCTGCTGGGGGAGCATGGGGTGCCTTGCAGATGTGCCTGCAAGGTGTGCAGCAGCTGTGACAGCAACCCCTGGCACTCCTGGCCGTGGAAGTGGGGTCAGTGCACAAGGATGGCGAGGGACAGGGACAGGGAGGGATGGGGACGGTGAGCACCCACCCTGCCCACTCCTCCCTGCCCAGCTCCAGGACAAATGACAACACACGCAGCCCGCTCTCACATCTGTTATGTTTTAGTACTGCTCATGTCTAAAATGACCAAAACCAAGCCAAGCGCTCGCAGCCCCTCGCTCTGCCTCACACGGAGTGAGAGGCCCGGGGGCTGCCCTGTCCAGTGCTGGGTGCGGGCAGGTGCGAGGGCAGGGGTGAGAGCAGGGGTGAGGGCAGGGGTGAGGGCAGGTGACAGGGCAGGGGCGAGGGCAGGTGACAGGGCAGGTGTACGGGTGGCTGTGCAGGCAGGACACCCCACGCAGGCTCCTCCACGCCTGCTGCCGAAGGGGACTTGCACGGCTCCAGTGAATGCATTTAAATAACAAACTCATGATCAGCAAAAGCAAAGGCATCTTAACCACACTTCCTAAAATAGCGACTGGCACCTGTTCCCGGCGCCTGGCAGTGAGGGGGCCCGCCCGCCCCGCGGGGCTGGGCGCGGGCGGGGCACGGGGCTGTCCCGGCTCTGGCACGGCTGGCAGCGATGGATGGCACACACGGTGCCCGGGCTGGGGGCAGTGCGGGAGGCGCTCAGGGCGCTGCTGCAGGGCGGGCGGGCGGTGCCAGCAGCGGCAGAGGGATGCGGGGCTGGGCTCCTCTCCGTGTCCCCGGAGAGGCGATGCTGGCCCAGCTGCCACGGCCCGGGGACCACGTTGTCACAAGGGTGGGTATCTGCTGGGGGCTGCTCTTACGGGCTCCCCCTGCCCTGCAGCACGGTGGGCATGGTGCAGGTGATGGTCAGAGCAGATGGGGAAGGCTTTGGGGTGGAAGCCGAGCTCTTGCCACAGCCCTGGCTGGAGTGGGGGGGCCAGGGCCAGGCTGCATCAGGGTGCCCCAGCCAGGGTGGGTGCAGGAGTGCAGAGGGACCTGCCCGGGCACTCAGACCACGAAGCTGAGCCCGTAGGTCATCTGATGGCCGTTGTCCCAGGCATAGAGCACCTTCTCCTTGGGGTTGTAGTCGACCTGCGTGGTGAAGGAGTAGTGGTTGAGGAAGGGCAGCCGGAGCTCTGCCTCCGTGTCTGTGTGTGTGTCGAAGGCATAGGAGATCTGCCCTTCCTTCTGGCTGTAGGTGTCCACAGCATAGAGGATGCCACAGATGATGAAGCAGTTCCCGTAGGTGTTGCGCTTCAGCCCCGTCTTCCAGGTGGTTTCCTTGCGCACCGAGAGGTCCACGGGGTCCAGCCGGCTGAGGACGATCACCTCCTGCTGGGAGTAGTCGTAGTCCACCGAGGGGTAGATGACCCAGAGCCCGCTCTCATCCACGGCAAAGTCGATGTCCGAGTGGCCCCTCCACTTCCAGGGCGTCGTGTCCTCGTACACCACGTCGTGGAGCTGTGCCCAGCCTGCCACGAAGCGCTCCTTCAGGTCGTACTTGATGATGTTCTTGGTGAAGGCACGGTTGTAGTAGAAGGCCCCTCTGTACACCACGTGCCCCGTGCCAATCCAGTTGTAGGGCAGCTTGTAGAGGTTGCTCCAGCGGCCTGTGGGTGGGTGGGAGAGGTATTGGGACCCTCCACAGCCCAGGGGTCCCATGCACGATGGCCAGAGCATGCTGGCAGCAGCAGGGGCCTTGTGTCACCCTTGCTGCCCTCTGAATGCTCCCCTCAGCTGCCCACAGCCCCAGGGCCCAGCACAGCTGGTGTCACCCAGCACTGGGCACCCACCTAGGAGCAGCCAGGGCCCCTGTGCCCACTCGCCCGCTTGCTCCTCACCCTGCTTGAAGCTGTCGAGGCTCCTGAACTCCACCAGGCTGTTGCCATAGTAGTAGTTGGTGATGTAGATGCGGTCATCCTTGGCTGCCGGGTCCTTCATCCAGGCCCCCTCGTTGCGCCCGTAGCTGTGGTGCTCCCGGGGCGGCTCCACGGACTCGATGGTGCCTTCACACTCCGCCTCCTTCACTGGGTGCGAGGGGGAGGAAGAGGAAGGCTTATCCCTGCCCAGGCGGCTGACCCCTGCTCCTTCCCCGAGGCAGATTCCTGCTGGCTTAGCTTGGCAGGGCACCGGGAACGCGGGGCTGGGTGCCCCCTGCCAGCCGCCCCCGCTCACCCACCTCTGTTCGGTGTCTCGGGGTCCCCGGTGCTGCCGGTGCCCTGGCCGAGGGCGGGGCCGGGGGGGCTGCGGGCGGTGCTGCGGGGCACCGGGGCGGTGCTGGGCACGGCCGTGCTGCTGGGCACGGTGCTCTCCGTCTGGGCAACAGCCTGGGCTGGGCTACCCTTGGCTGGCGGGGGCGGGGGGCCCCTGTCCTCCTGCTGCTCTGGCACGGCTGCCCCTCTCACAGGGCCCTCTGCGGGGGACAAGCCGGGGGTCAGTGCGTTTGCAGGGGCAGGTCCTGGCCCCCCTCGGTGAGAGGTGCCCTCCCAGGCCCCCATCCCTGCCCTGCTCCAGACTCACCGCGGCTGCCGGCCGGACCCTCTGCCGCTCCCGCCTGCCCGACCTTGTAGTAGGTGATGCCCCGGACCACAGTCTGCTGCTGCACCAGGGGCTTGGGCTTGGCTGTGGGCTGTGACCCCACCTTGGCTTTGGTGTTCTCCTTTTTGGGCTTTTCAGGCTTCAGTGGTTTCTCCTTGGGCGCTCGGGGGGCTGCCCTGTCCCCCAGTGCCTTGCGGGTGCTGGGGTACCGTCCTGCCTCCTTCTCCCGGCCACCTGTCGTGTCCTGGGGGGCACAGCCCGGTCAGCCCCCCTGCCCTCCCATGCCCTCCTCTTCCCTGCCACCACCGTGCCAGGCAGGGGGCACAGGCACCAGCCCAGGGGTTACCCCAAGGATCCTCCACAAGCCTGGGGGAGCCTGGCCCTGCCTGGCAGCACCCGCTGTGCCTGCATGTGCCCGGGGGTACCTGTGCCTTGGGGTATCTGTGCCTTGGGGTACCTGTGCCTTGCTCTCAGGGATGGCAGCTGCATCCTTCTGCAGCAGCTGATAGCCCAGGTTGGAGATCTCCTTCTTGATGCTGATCATGATGTCAGAGTAGTTCTCGTAGCGTTTCATCTGGTCGCTGAGGTGCTGGACACTCTCCTTCATGAAGTCATTCTCCCTGCTCAGGTTGGTTTTGATGGTCTGCAGGAGAGGAGAGGAGAGGAGAGGCTGGAGCCCCACTCAGGGGCTCACAGAGGCTCCTGAGCCGTGCAGGGGGGAGCACTGTGGGGATGGGGCTGCTGGAGCTCGCTCACCTCCTCCAGCGTGTTCATCTGCGCCACCACCTTGCTGATGTAGGAGTGCACCTTCATCAGGTCCATGCTGTACAGCGTTCCCTCCAACAGGTCCACCATGGCCTGCAGCTGCAGGGGGGACACAGGGATGGGGCCCGGGCTAAGGGCTGGGGCACGGGGCAGGGACACGGCAGCACAGCACGGGGAGGGGGTCTGGCCCCCAGTCCCACCACACCACAGATACCTTGAAGAGCTCAGGGGCCTGCTTCTTCAGCTTCTCCATCTTCCACTCGTTCTCGCAGGGGTTGAGCGAGGAGGGGGGCGCGGTGCAGGAGCACCTGCAGTCAGCCCCCGAGCTCACCGTCTCCACGGTGTAGAAATCCTCCACGCGCGCGCTGCCGCTCCTGACGCGGCTGCAGGCGTCCTTGCTCAGAGGCCGCAGGATGCACTTGCAGCGGCAGTCGGAGCCCTCGGACGTCATCCGGACCTGGTCCACATCCCCCAGCGCCTGCGGGACACGCGATGAGCCTGGTGCCCACCCGGGTGTCCCGCAGAGCCAGCCCCAGCAGACCAACACAGCCAACCCCTCACTGCTGCTGGCCCAGAGATCTCCCAGTGCCCCTGGGGCTCGTGGCTGTGCCCAAAGGAGGGAGGCATTGCCTAGTCCCCAGCACCCTGTCCCACTGCTCTGCAGCCGGGCTGACGGTGAACAAAGCCCAGGGACCTGCTCATCCCTGCAATGCTTTGTGGCCCAGGTACTTCAGTCTCATTTCTGTGGCTGCTTCCCAGCCTCCAGCAAGATCTCAGTGAGCAGGGATGGTGGAAAGAACACCCAGCAGTGCCTCAGTGAGCAGGGATGGTGGCAAGAACACCCAGCAGTGCCTCTGTGAGCAGGGATGGTGGCAAGAACACCCAGCAGTGTCTCTGTGCCCCCACAGTGGCTCCGAGCCCACACAGGGTCCGTTGTTTGCGGTGACATGCAGCCACCTCGGGGTGAGCTCGGCCCCTCAGTCTGCTGCGATGGCCCGAGGCACAGGCTCAAGGACTCCCTTGTTTCCACACATGGCCCTGATTCACGCTCCAGAGCCCAGGGTGCTTTTCGGCTGGTTTAGCTCATTTCTCCCGCTGTGCTCAGGAACAGGGGAGCTGAGTCCCTCCCACCCCCTGCCACCGGCTGTGCACCTGCGGGGGACCCCTGGGCTGGCAGGAGCACGGCCAGGCCGCTCTGGGTGTCCCACGGGCGGGGATGCGCCTGCTCCAAGCACCCCGGAGGGTGGGAGAGCAGGGAGAGGCAGTGCGGTGACCCCGCAGGGAGAGGGCTCTGCCCACAGGGACTCTGACTCATCCTGGGAAACGGAACGGTGGCAGAGCTGGGAAACAAGTTGAGCTCTGGCTCCCGGTCCTCCCCGGACCACAGCAGAGCACAGAGCGGCGTGGGAAAGGGCAGAGGCCCGCGGGCTCCATGTCCTGCCCCAAGGCAGCACCCAGGGCTGCACAGGGATGGATCCTCCTGCCGTGCTGGTGGCACCGGGGCTCCCTGAGCTGGGCACGGACCCCAGCTCCCCACAGCCCACACAGGCCAGGGGCTTCCTCCCCTTTCTGAAGGGCTGCAAACCCTCACGCATTTTGCATTTCAAAAAACTCTCTTTCGTTCAAAGGGAAACCAGGTCCTGCTGGCTGAAGGGAAACACCAGGACGCCAAAGGGCTGTAAATTGAGCAGAATCTAATCAAGCTCTCAGCAGGGAGCGGGGCAGGGACCCCCTCCCCAAACACCACCTCGCCAGGCTCGCACGTCCCCGGGGCCCCTGACCTCTCCTGTGGCCACTGGCGCTTGTGCAAACAGGCAGGACGGTTCCCGGCCCGGCCGCACACCCAGCAGCGGCCGGAGCTGTCCTGGGGGACAGTGTCCATCCCTGTGCTGCCCGGTGAGCACACATCCCTGCGGGAATCCCGTGAGAGATGCTCCCCACTGCAGGCCCACTTCAGTTCCGAGCTGGGGTCCCCCGTTCCTGGCAGTGCCCAGAGCAGCAGCCCCCGGTGAAGGCGCCGCTGCTGCAGCACAGCCCGACCCCGGCACAGCTGTGACCCCCCCTGCTCCCAGCGCCTGCTGCAGGGCCGGGCTGCAGGAAGCTCGTTCCTGAGGGAGCCGGTGAGCCTGGGCTGTGCATCCCCTCCCTGTGACACTGCACAGCCGGGAGGTGTCCGGCGCACAGAAGCTCTCCAGGGCACCAAGGGCCAGCCCCTTCCCAGGACCCGCCCGGCTCCGGCCGCGCCCGTCCCGCGTGGGCAAACGCGCTGCGGGTGCCCCCGCACCGTGCCCGGGCCGCCGCCCACCTTCAGGGGGCCGTAACACTAAACCTCGCCGTGCCGTCTGCCAGCTTCCCTAAACAGGAACTGCACGCTCTATTTATACAGAAAAGCCCATAAGCAAGGAAGTATTAAAAACCAGGCTCCCACGCAGGGAGCCTCTGTGAGGGTCCGGGGTACCTCGGCTGGTGCCCTCTGTCAGCCCCTGCCCGGCTGTGCCCGGCTCTGCAGGGACAGCCCACACCAGGGCACGCACAGGCGGCTGGGGATGCGGGTGCAGAAGGCAGCCCGTGCTGCTCTGCTTTCTCCAGGTGGAATCTGTGAGCTCCCCACGATGGGGGCTGATGCAGCCCTGCAGGGGCTCTGGCGATTCTTTCCCTGGATCCCCCACTCGCCGCAGACCCCAGCCCAGGCTGCTGGCAGGTGGCTGCTGCCTGTCCTCCTGAGCGGGTCCCAGCTCCCCGGGGGCTGCACACCCATGGCTGGTGTGGGAGAGTGTCCCTGCACTTTGCCGAGGGTTTCCTCACTGCAAGTTTTATGAGCTGGGTAATTTTCCCGGTTCCCGGGACCTCTTGCAAGAGCATCCATGTGAGCACAGAGTTTGTGACATTATTTGGAGAAAGCGGGACCTTTGACAATGACCCTTGGCCAGCTTTTAGGCTGTCCCTTGGCTGCTGCCAGAGGACTCGTCTCGGGGGAAAACACGCTGTGTTGATAAGCTGCCGCTCCACACGCCTCTGGCACAGCTGCCGGGAGGCAGGTCCCCGTCACGGGAGGGAAACCATGTCACCCTCGTCTTCCTCCTCCTCCCAGGCTTGGCACAAGGTGTCAAACACGTCCTGCAGCTGAGGCAGAACGGTGCTGGCAGGGCTGGGCCGTGGCTGACGGGGGCCAGGCCCCGGGCGCTGGCGCTGCTTGGGTGTCCCGTGTCGGTCACGGGGACACAGCCGTGCCAAGCGCTTGTATGGCACACGCATGCCCACGATGGGATCTCATTGAGAACACACCTCTGAGCACAGCAGGCAGCACCTGCGGGGAGGGAGACGGCACCGCGTGGATCGCTGAGTCCTGCCAGCATCACCCCTGGCACCCCGCCGGGAGCCCAAGCAACAGGGCATTCCAGGCTTTGGATATCTGTTCCAAGCTAAGTGCTGCCCGACAACAGCTGCCTTAGCGTCGTTTCCCACCAAATGTCTTGGAAAATCCCGTCTTTTTAACATTTGGTGATCCTAGCAGTAGCTGCTCCCACCACCATTCCTCTGGGCTGGGTCCCGGTGTCCCTGCTCCGGCCGCGCTACGGCCACTGACCCCGTGGGAGACGTCTTCCAGCTGGAACCGAGGGCTCCTGGACGCACGGGGAGGCCGGCTCCCCCCGCTCCCGGTCCCGCTCCCGCTCCTTATCCCCGCGGGGAAGGCTTGTCTGGGCTGCTCTCCCTGGCACGGAGTCGCTCATTGCAGCGCCCATCACCGCAGCGCCGGGGCTTGGGCACCGTCCAACCGCTGAACGCGCCCGCAGCCCGGGTCATTCCCTGCGCCGAACCCCCGCCCGCCGGGAGCACCGGCACCCGAACCGGCCCTTCCCGGGACCCCCGCCCGCTGCCCGTGTCGGGCCGCGCCCCCGCCGCTCCGCCCGGGCACAGAGAGCAGCGACCGCCGGGGACACTGGGCCGGTCCCGCAGCGACGGGGCTGCCCCTGCCCGCTGCCGACCACCGCCGCGATCGCTCCCGGCCGCGATCGCGATCCCGGTCCCAACCCCAGTCGGTGCCGGTGCCGGTCCGGCCCGTCCTTACCGTGGCGGCGCCGCGCACCGCGGCCAGCGCCGGGAGCAGGAGCACGGTGAGCAGCAGCGCCCGCATGGCGAGAGCGGCGGTGACCGCCCGCACCGAGCGCCCGCTCCGCCCGGCCCGGCCCGGCCCGTCCCGTCCCGGCGGCGGGGAGGAGCCGCCCGTCCCGTCCGCCCGTCCGTCCCGTCCCGCCCCGCCCCGTCCCGGCGGCGGCACCGGCCCCAGCAGCGGCGCCGCGGCGCGGGGGCGGCGCGTTCCCCCCGGGTGGGGCTGGTCGTGCCCGCCCCGGGGCTCCCGCCGCACCGGGGCTGCCCGGTGCCCCGTGCGGGGCTGCCCGTCCCTCCCCGGCCTGGCCGATCCCCCCCTCCGAGGGGGAGGCGGTGTCCCCGGGCAGCCGCTCGGACCCCCACCGGGGCTGTGCGGTTTCCCCGGGCTATGCCCCGTGCCCGGTTTCGCCCCTCTCTCGGTGCCCCGTGCCCGGTGCCCGGTTCCCCTCTCCCGGTGCCGCGGGCGACGCTCGGGGCTCGGCCGCCGGGTGCCCCCTGGCGCCCCGCCGCTCCCGGTGCACCGGCCCGGGGGAGCCCGCGGGGCGGGGCGGGGGCTCGGGGCGGGCCGGGGGCGCGGCCGTCGGGGCCGGGCCCGGCTCCCCGCGGGCGGCGCTCGGACTACGGCTCCCGTGGTGCCCCGGGGGGGCGGGGCGCGGCCGGCCCGGCCGAGCGCGGCGCGGCCCTGGCTGTCAGCAGCGCCCGAGCGGCCATGGGGCAGCGCGGCCGCCGGGGCCGCTGAGACCGCCGAGCCCCGGCCCGGCCCGGCGCGGCCCCGGCGCCGCCATGGAGCTGGAGCCGCCCGCGGAGCTGCCGGAGCCCCGCGCCGCCAGCAAGGGGCCGCCCCGCAGCGGTGAGTGCAGAGCGAGGGGTCCGGGCGGGCCGGGGGCGCGGGGCCGGCGGTACCGGGGGCTCCGCCTGCCCGATGCGGGCCCGCAACTTTCCGCGGCCGCGGGGCGCAACAAAGGGCCGTGCCCGCCCTGCCCCGCTGCCCCGGCCGGGGCCGGGACCCGCTCGGGGGGACGCGGGGGTCGCCGCCCTCAGCGGTGCCCTCGGCCGGGGCGCGTGCCCCGCGGGTCTCGCTCGCCCGGCCGGAATCGCCTTTGCCCCGGCAGCCCCGGTGCTCGGGGGCCCGCGGGGTGCGTGCGGCGGCGCGGGGCCGCTGCCGGCTCGGTCCGGGCGCGCCGGGGCTGCCCCGCGGTGCCGGTACCGGCGGCGTGTCCCGGCCGTGCCCCGCGGCTGCTCCCGGTGCCCCGCGGGTGTCTTGGCTCAGCCCCTGGAGCCGGTCCCTGCCCGGGGTTTATGGGCACCATTTGGGACCCTTTTACACTTCCCGTATGCAGATGCCGCATCTGCACTTGAATGTCCCTGCCAATTTTTATGGTTTACAATTGCATTTTACCATCTTAAGGTACTCGGGTTCTCTACAAAGGGTTTGCTCAGACAAAAGAGGCTTTTTATCAGGCAGCATCCTCGGTTTTCGAGATACGGGCGGTACCAAAAGATAGGCAGTGTGGGAACGGCAGAATGGGCATTGCTGTACGCGCCCTGATGTGTAACGTTGAGTTGTCCCTGGAAGCACTTTATTCCTCCTCACTTAATTAGATGTCCAATTGGATGAAAGACACTTAATACTCTTAGATACTTTAATAACACTCTAATAACACTCCTAATGCTTTAATATAGCCTTAATACTTTTTGAACTTTCTGATTTAATTTGTGAAGTGTCTGTTGCTTTAGTGTCCCTAAAAGTACAACAATATTAATGCTTTGTCCGCATTTGCTGTTTTTCCCACAGATGTGGGATTTTGAGGGAAATCTCTTTTGATTAATCAGATTAGCTTTAAGAGTTTTTTGCGTAGCTGTTTCTTGTGACAGATGTACCTGTGGCTGTGGTTAGTCTTTTGAATGGGTGATGTAACAACCTTTTGCTACTTTGCCTTCAAAAATGTGAAATACTGCTGCGGTGTTGAGACATTGCTTGACCTTCAGTCTTTCTAAAGCCTCTGGGGGAGGAGCAGGAAAGATTGGGTTGTTAATTCATGGTTTATAAAATACCTGCAAATGATAATGGCAGATGAAGACTCTGAATATTTCGTTTTCTTAAGAAAGATTCATAGTGCTTCTGATACCTCGAGGAACAGTGTCTTAACAAAACCAGTGAAAATTGTAGGAGGACAGAGGCATAAAAGTCAGATTGTATTCTTGGTGTTAAAATGTTAATGTTAAAATCATTAATGAACTTAAGCTGTGCACGTGGCTTCTGTGTTAACCCAGAGTAAACTGCTGCAAGTTTATTGGCGCCTTCAGTGAGAGAAGCCTCAGGATAACTTTGAAATGCAGGGTGTAGTTTTATTTCAGCAGTTACAGGCAATTGCAGCCTCATTATTTGAGGGGACACTTGACGTTCTTAGAATATAAGATGATGGTTTTCCCTTGCCAATTTGAGTACTTCCTCTTCCATGTAAGAAACATATTTTGTCATTGAGCAAATCAATAGCCACGCATAAAGCCAGGGGTTTTTTTTAAAGCAATTTCATTAAGGCATTCATTTTTCTTGCAGTAGTAGCAATTATTTCTCAACAGGGTCCCATTTAAGATCAGTCTTGCTATAGCTTCAGTTGGCATCTTTTTCCTCTGTGAATGAGACATGATGGCTTTTACATAGTTTTAATTATTTAATGTCTTAGCTAAAATAGGGACACAACAGATTAGCTAGAATTAAGGTAGCTTTGGACACTTTGTTGTGTTCTGTGGTCTGGAAGACAAGATTTATCAGGAAACTAAACAGAAAACTTGAATTTTGTGTTCCCGTAAAACTATCAGAGTTTCAGATGGGCAGATTACTGATCTGGATAAACTTCATACCAGAGAAGAGAGGAAAGTTGTCAGAGCACAAAGAATGTAAGGTTTTCAAAGAAAAGTCCCTTTGCCTGCATCCCTTCCCTTTTCCACAGCATTCCCAAACTTTACTGGCACACACTGACATTTTTAGTGGTTCTTTATGCTTGGTTGCTTTGCATCTGATGAGATAAGCCTTTGCTTAACAAAGACTATTTCATTGATATAGTTGGGTCTTAGTTTACTTGCTATAAACATTTCTTTGAAGATTTAGGAAGAAAAACAAATGGAGTTGTCGAATGGCAACGCTGCTGAAGTCAAATGTCTCTGAATAAACAAGAAGCTACAGTGTTATTTCAGCTCAGTGTTGGCTTCTTGAATGTGGATGTCTCTTGCTTTTGTAAATAATAATAGTTCAGAACCCTATGCATTATTTTCTCAGTACTGTGGTGGGAAGTGAAAGACTTGTAATTTAGGAACAACTTAACTCCTTTGTTTGATTTGATGGTAAAGATGGAAAAATACCTCTTGGTATAAAGTTGGAATTTGGTATTGATGGCTTCTGTAGATCATTAATCAGGAAAATGGGTTTATGCATGCCTTTTTGTGCTGAGCAGGACTAGTGCTGTATGTTGAGCAGATGCAGCGTGTGATGTGGCACTGCAACAACAAGATTTTTTCACTGCTTTGCTATAAAACAATTTAAAGATACTGAATTATAGAAAATGAGGGAACTTTCCCATCTGGGAGACTAATTCTTGATTGTTGGGAAGCAATAGCTGTGTTTCTGTCCTGCCTCTGGCAAGTCCTTTGTGGTATTTCTTTTTTTGGTGGGGAAAATGTGCCAGTGGTTTATTGAATTACTGTTCAACTTCTACGGTGGTAGAGCTTTGAACAGATGCATTTACACCAGCATTCTGTGAGAATGGGAGCACAGTTTATCCTGTTGATAAACTGCCTATTTAAATAAAGCCTTCAGCAGTGTAATCTGGTAATTCTAATTAAGTCATTTACATAGGGAATTGGCCCAGGGTTTCATCAGATGGCTGCTGGGGAGCTGAAATGCATTCTTTCCCTCCAGCTGTATTAAACCAGCCTTTTGATCCTGTCCTTTTTTTAGCCTTTAAGCCAAAGTGGTTATCACTGTGCAGAGTTAATTGAGAAAGGGAAGTTGGGGGACAAGGGGACCCTTTGAGCTTTAGCTTTGGTCTTAATTATTACAGTTCTAATTACATAATTAGAAGACTTCCAGATTTTATGTGTTGATAAAAATGATTCTGTACAGGTTTTGTTAGAAAGAGGAAATACTCCACGCAGAGGCTGGCTTCAGTGAAGTTCTTTATTGGTAAATGATTGCCAATAACTTATCTTGGTAGCAGTATAAGCCTGGGGTATCTGAGTTCTCCCCAGCACTTTGATAAGGAGGTTTCATTTACCCAGGGTGGACCTGCGTCCTTCAGAGAGCACAAATTACATGTCCACCTTCCATTGCCTAATCATCCCAGCTGGAGGCTTGTAGAGGTGGGGAAATTTAAACTTAGAGAAATGTCTGGTCAGTGTGAAAGATTCATTTTTTAAAGCCCTTTTTTCCTTTGTTAAAAAAAACCCCCAAAAACCAAAAAAACAACAAACCAGTAAAAATCTATCCCAGCTGCAACACCAGGCTGACTGCAAAGTGCTGTGATGTCCTTGTCTGGAAATACCTCCCAGCTGAAACTTGAGGGGGAACCTTCAGTAGATTTTGTGGGAACATAATCCAGACTGTGGTGTCCCTCAGAGAAAATAGTCTTGCTGGATAAAGGCTCTGCAGCTGTGGGTGCAGGAAATGTGGGTGCAGAGTCTGCAGGGGCTCAGGGCGGTGGGCTCCCTGCCCTGCTCCCAGCCTGCAGGTGCTGTACCCCTGGCTGTGCATGAGCACAGGGCTCCTGGCAATGCTGGGTTTATTCTGATTAGCTGCTGCTCGGCAGCCCAGGGTTTTACCTGTGGGAATTGCTGCAGAGCCCTCAGGTCCTGAATCCAAGTGATTGGATGATGGCTGTCGTGGTTGTAGTAAGAATTTGTAAAAGAACTCCGAGTCTCTGAAAGTTCTGCCAAACACCAGCTTGTCCTCCAAAAATCTCTTCATTCAGTCTCACAGCTGTAGCTTTATGTTGTTTGGCAATACTTACAAGGAATTATTCCTAAGTATGTTGTTTCAGATGTCTTGTGAGTGCTTTTGCCAGGAGGCTCTCCATCCTCTGCCTGTTTTATCAGCAGTGCTGAGGAAATGCCCTTTCTGTGGGTCACAAGCAGGGCTATTCTTACCTGCACATTTTCTGTGCTCCTGGTGGCGTACAGAACGGAAGGGAGCTGAGGAGAGGTGCCAGTGTTGGGTACCAGTTTGCTGCTGTGCCAGCTCAGGGTGTGGCTGCTCGCTGCCTCCTGTTTGCTGCTGCTTTGAGAAGTTTTCTCTGCCCAGTTCTGTTTTCCTGCTTACCTGGCACTGCCAGCTGGGTCCATCACCTTAACACTTGAGCTGACCTTTAGTATTTCACTTGGATTTACATAAGGGCTCTGCTCAGTGAACTGTCCCTATCACAGGATGATATCCATAAAAATGACACTTCCTAGTCTTGAAAAAAATCCCCAGGCCCATTGGAGACATGTGAAAAGGACACCCAGCAGGAAGAGAGGCCCATGGCCTGAAATATTCATCAATCATTTTCCTGGCACCAGGAAACCAATCAGCTCTTGTAAGGGGAGAGAGCAATCAATCACACAATGTGGGAAACAGGGATTGCTGGCCCTGCCAGAAATGTCCCTTCACAGGGACAGAGGGAAGGGGCTGCGTTGGTCCTTACTCACAAGTGGTAACTTACACCCAGCTTTTGTAAAAGGCAATCTGTGCACACCACGGGCTGTGCTGCATCACTGCTCCAGCCTGCACTCACGGTTTTGTTTGCAGTAATGTGGAGTTGTTTTCTCCTTAGATTTTTTTTAATTTACCTCTTTTCCGTGGCTGGTAGGTGAAGG